AATATTTTTACTCTGTTCTGAGTTTCGCAGAATTCAATAGGGTTTACTGTCTAGTATGTTCCTGATCATTTTCAGTTTTAATAAATAATAATAATAATAATAATAATAATAATAATAATAATAATAATATTTTCACAGGGCAGGGGAGGCTAGATCCAAGCTCAATTAGTCAATTCGTTTCCACAGCTATAGGTATGGGAACTGGTACTGGCAAATTTCATGGTGGCAAAACCCAGGTATTGCTCTTGACCATATGAAAACTGACCGCATCTCCATCACTATCAATATTTGCTTTTCCCACTCAGCAAAACTTGTGGCCTGCTGGCATCCATCGATGATGTCATTTCCGGGCGCTGGAAGCAAGCTGGGCAGGACTGATGACAGAGAGAGGAGCCAAGGAACATTGTGTGTGTGTGTGTGTGTGTGTGTGTGTGTGTTTGTGTTTTCCCCCAGGAACCACAATATTCAACAGACAAGATAGGCAGGTTGTTGCAGAGAGGCCGCATTTTATTAGAATAGCTGCAACATGTCATATAAATATAAATATATATATGTACACCCTATACATAGACTTGGGGGTATGTCAAGATGTTGAGGGAGGGGAGGGGAAAGAGGGTTATTGCTTTGAACTTTTCGCCATTGACTATTATATTCAGTAAAAAACAAACCAACCACTGGGTGGGGAAAAAGCAGGTGGGAAGAGCTCGCAGCCACAAATGCGCCACACAATCAAAAGGTTCCCGCGCAAGCGAACAGAGGCGTCACAACCTCCCCAAAAGGCACAGTCGCTAGAGAGTCACCATCTCTGGTCATGTCCACACCATGCATTTAAAGCCCTCCTGCACCACTTTAATGGGGAATCCTGGGAGCTGTAGTTTAAGGGTTCTGGGAATTGTAGTTCCGTGAGGTCAGCACTCTTAACTACAGTTCCCAGCATTCTGTTTTTTTGGAGGGGGGAGGAGACGGCCTACGAGTGCTTTAAATGAGTGGCAGGGATGCGACCTTTCTCTCCAGCTGCATACAAGCCTTGCATCCTTCTTCTCAGGGCCTGGCACAGACGCCAGGAAGAACAGGCAGAATAAATTGAAGGATTTGCAACCAAAAATGAGCAGAAAGCCAGCGCAAAGCTCAACTAACGGGGGGAAGCCAGAGGGTATATGTACAGGGATGAGATGGGGGGGGGGATCAAAAGGGAGGGAAACTAATAAACCAAACACAATGGGAACCCAGCAAGGGGTGCAAATGTACTGGAAGGGAGATGCATGCAGTAGCAGCAGCCAGTAGGTAGTTTGGAGAGGCAGTGGCAGGGCACCATTGAGAAAGGGCTTCTTAAAAACAACAAAACAGGGAGGAAAAAGGGGAGGGAACCAAGTCTACTTAAGGAACTATGACTGGGGGATGAGGGTCACCTCTTCATTCATCCCTTCTCTGCTTCTGGCAGTTCTCACAGAGTACAATTCCAAGGTGTAAATCTGCTATCATCAACCACCATGTGATGAGCCATCAGGGACCCTGGCCTCCAAACCGGTCTCAGATCCAGCAGAATCGGAGCGTGCGGCTTTCCCCATAAGGCACGGTTTCCCAAACTTGGGTCTCGAACTGTTTTTGGACTACAACTCCCATCAGCCCTAGCTAGCAGGACCAGTAGTAAGGGACGATGGGAACTGTAGTCCAAAAACAGCCAGAGAGCCAAGTCTGGGAAACACTGCTTTTAAGGTATCACTTCAGACTGCTGAAGTGTTCAAAATGCTCTCCCCCCAAAAAACTGCAGAAACTACCAGAAAGCGAGGAAGGCTCCAACTGAACCGTTCTCCCTGCCACGCTAGCTTTCGGTGAGCAGGGAGTTCAAAGGTGTAATTCCCCTCCTGCAGTTTAAATGGTACAGGCCGGCCACACATGTAGACTGGCTGTCAGACAACTGCCCAACAATGGGAACCAGGCTGGGAGACAACAAGGTCGTCTGGTTGGGGGGCAGACTACTATTCCTAGCTTTGACTATCACTGCAGCTAGATGTGGGTTTTGCTCCTGTTTCAGCGGAGGCAGGAAGATCTTAGGGAATAACTGCTCAACCAGAAATGGTATGTCAGAGTCAGCCTTTGACTCAGCTCCCCATGGCACCAATAACACACCTAACTGTGACCATAGTGGAGATGCCTGTTTTGTGGAAATTGGGCACAAAAGAAATCCCACATGTCCTGCCCATTTCAAACCTGAGTGTAAGGTAAAGGTAAAGGATAAAGGGACCCCTGACCATTAGGTCCAGTTGTGACCGATTCTGGGGTTGTGGTGGTCATCTCGCTTTATTGGCCGAGGGAGTCGGTGTACAGCTTCCGGGTCATGTGGCCAGCATGACTAAGCTGCTTCTGGTGAACCAGAGCAGTGCACGGAAACGCCGTTCACCTTCCCGCCGGAGTGGTGCCTATTTATCTACTTGCACCCGGGAGTGCTTTCGAACTGCTAGGTTGGCAGGAGCAGGGACCGAGCAACGGGAGCTCACCCCGTGGCGGGGATTTGAACCGCCGACCTTCTGATCGGCAAGCCCTAGGCTCTGTGGTTTAACCCACAGCGCCACCAGCGTCCCAAACCTGTGTGTACTGGCAAGCAAGTAAACACACACACACTCATGATCATTATCTTCCTGTTGCACAATAGCCCAGACATGCCAAACGTGTTTTTTTTTTAAGAAACTGGGTTTCCTCCATGTTAGAATGGGTATCATCACAGCCATTTCGTGTGTATTCTGCACATCAATGGTTCCCAGCTCAGAAAAACCCAAAAGCTCTCCACGTTTCAGGCACCTAGGATGGCCAAGGTAGGCTGATGAATGTGATTCTGGCTGCCAGGGAAGGATTTGGCATCCTCCCTCCACAACTTTCCTCTGTGGCTACTCTTGACTAACATCCCTCTGCTGCGGCATCAGTCTCCTCTCTCTCTCTCCCGTAGTCACCTTTTCTTGCTTCTCTTCTGAAATTTAACCCCATTTGCTTTCCTTTATTCTGGAAGGAGAATTTGTGCCAATGGTGCAAAAATATTCATACTCTGCCTTATTTATTTTTTGGGGGAGGAATGTGGAGATATGGGCTGGGTAGGACACACAAGCCTGATAATCAGGACTAAGATGCCTAGTCTCTAATTCTGTACCCTACACAATGCAGCTTCCTTAATTTCTTTTTTTAAAGCAAACCCCAAATGCTGCCCATGTTTTTAGCTCTTATTATTGCACCCTGCAATAAATTAGTTGCTGCACTGTCTTTCTTGCAGTAGCCCAATCCGGCCTTTGCTTCTGAAATCCAAAGCTTTGCTGTTCTTTATTGTGGATGCAGAATTACTTTGCTGCTTGTGCAAATGTGCATAATTTGCCCAATTTATTATGGGGCAGGGGGATGCAGACCACCTCTCTGATCAACAGCGTGTGGATTCATCTTTAATTTAAAAATACCCCTTGTGAGTGAACTTCTCTACTTTTTATTCCTTGCTAAGAAAGGAACGGCTTTTTCCCTGCATCACTCCAGCTCTCCTGTTTCCCCCCAAAGTTTAAATAATATTGCTGGATTATTTTCTGAGCTTGAATTATCATGGAATAAATAACCTTAGTGTTTAGCTACTTATGCAAAGGCAGCAGCTACATTTAGGAAATATATTGATCATGTTTAAAGTGGGAGGGGAACTGCCTGGAATTTATATAATTTCTTTCCCTGGCGGTGTTGAGGCCTACAGAAGGTTTTTATTAGAAGTCTTTCTCTGCTTTATTCTAATTTATGTGTCTGCTACCCTGGTTGCTTTAGTTGTTATTTAAAACAAAACAACACACACACACACACACACACACACACACACACACACACACACACAATGCCATATACCATATAAATGCAAGCAATAAAATCTTTTGGGTATTGCTGGAGTATGGGCTATAGCTAGAACGATAAATACACACATTTGTTCATTTGCAGCCATCTGTTTGCTTTCTGCTCACGCACACTCAAGAATTAAAAGTTAGGTGAACAGAAACCTCGCTAGGCATCTGTGGCTGGTGCTGGCCCTTTTCACACTGCGGGGAAGAGTGGGGAATATATACTCTGAGCAGGGAAATGCCACCCTCGCTAGGGAAACATGAGCTGTAACTCAGCCGTGGAGGACCCACTCTTTATGTAGAAGGTTCAGTCCTAGGCAGGGGTCAGCAAACTTATTCAGCAGGGGGTCGGTCCACTGTCCCTCAGACCTTGTGGGGGGGCTGGACTATATTTTGTTGGGGGGGGGAATGGATGAATTCCTATGCCCCACAAATAACCCAGAGATGCATTTTAAATAAAAGGACACATTCTACTCATGTAAATACATGCTGATTCCCGGACCGTCTGCGGGCCGGACTGAGAAGGCGATTGGGCTGGATACGGCCCTCGGGCCTTAGTTTGCCTACGCATGGTCCTAGACATCTCTAGGAAGGGGGTGAGGGGGAGGGAGAGAGATGCCGTCTGAAACCTGCCAGTCAGAGTTGACATTTCTGAGTAAGATGGACCAATTGTCTGACAACTCATTATAAGGCAGCTTCCTATGGCCTTGGGGGGGGGGAGTGTTGTGGAGTTGGGTCCAGCTACTTTTGGGAAGGGCTGCAGCTGAGTGGGAGGACATCTTGCTGTGCATTCATAAAATCCCAGGTTCAATCCCTCGGGGGAAAACCCTGCCTGAAACCCCGAGGAGCTGCAGCCAATCAGTGCAGCCAGTACTGAGCTACGTGGACCAATGGGCAGACTCTGTTTAAGACGGCTTCCATTATTCCTGGCATGTAAATGTTGTACACGGAGGGGGCATTCTATGGGAGGAGAGCACTCAAATCATTCAACCTGTAGTCTGGGATGCTGCTATTCGGGGGGGGGGGCGGTTCCTGCTCATTTGCTTCACCCCAAAGCCCCTATCCTTCCCTCTCCCTCCTTATTTATTTAAAAATTATCTTATGTCAAGGACGTCTACTGCGGCTTAGAACAATAAAGAACATAACTGCAACTATATATATTTATATATAACCAGTGTTACAAAAAAAAGAAAAAGAAAAGATAAAGCACACTCAAAACCTCCGTAACATTCCAGCTTCGATCCAACAAAAGGGGCAACATTATTCGGGGAAGGCTGCCAATGCAAAACAGGTTCAGAGGCCTTCTGCAAAACCCTGCGGCATGCCACAGTTCTAGTGGGAGGGAGTTCCAAAGGCATGAAGCTGCTACAGAGGAGACAGAGCTAAGGTGTGGACTCCCCAAGAGGGCCTCTGACTGAGATCTCAAGTGTGTGGGAAGGATGGTACAGGTCCAGACCCCATCAAGGGTCTTAAGACGGGTGCATGTTATGTGTACTTGTGGGTGTGCTATGAATCCCTTTACCACCATGTATACAGTATGCTTCAAACTCATGGCCAAAGCTTATCAGTGCAGGGATCGCAGTCATGGCGCCCATGGGGCTTAGCAGTTCAATAATTCTTAAAATGTGTTTTGGGTTTTCCTGAACAACTTGACCCGTGTTGCTTCCTACGCTACCAGGGCCAACAGCTGGAGCGAATGGACTTTGAGTGAGAAACCCACCCGTGTGCGTGTGTCACCATGCATGATTGTGAACTTTTGGCATTCTGGTGCTCAGAGTGGAATACCAAAATGCCACGTGTCCCAGTGACTCTTCTGTCCCCAGGCTACAACTGCAAAAGGATGTGAGGATGATAGCACCACCTTCGCGAACGGGCGATTCATGTGTGAACTGCCCAACACTATGAGGCTGTGCTTACCATTTTAAGAGTGTTCTGTGGTTAAAAGAACAAGCAACCCATGTTGCATGAACAAAGAATCACAGGACACCCTTTCGCTGAGGTTGCAGTGAATCTCCGCTGAACGGAGAGCTCTGCCCACCAAAAGGTGGCAACCGTTCGCAAGGCCTGTTTTGGGTGGGGGCAGCCAATGCGGTGCCTTCTAGCTATCGCTGTTACTGTAATTCCCATCACCCTTCATCACTGGCCAGGCTGGCCGGGGCTGATGGGAGTTGGAGTCCAATGGGCGATGCCATGTCAACTACCCCTTTGTTATGGTTTCGCCAGGATGAGCAAGAGGAGGAGAGTCAAGAGGCCTCTGAGTTTGCCAGGGATTGACGGCCTTTTCCAAACTCGCTTGCCTTCGCTGGATAACTGGCTGTGAGTAAACAGGGTCTCATGAGGTGTAGCGTGGGGGGGGGCAAGGGGTGCCGTTGCCCTGGGTGCCGTTTTTTGGAGGGTGCAATTTGCCCCTGCCAGCCCTGTGCTGCTTTGCGGGTCTGCTCCCATATCCCAGCCTCACAAAACAGCAGAGGGTTGGCAGGGCATCAGGAGGGCACAACGGGCATGCACCAAAGGGCGCCTGCCTGCCCCGCTGCGCCCTCCCCATGCTGCCCCTCCAGCCCGCACTGGCAGGGTGGCATGAGAAGGACACAACAGCCATGTGCTCTTCGGTCCCAGTCTTGCAAAGCGAGGGTGAGCCTGGGATCAAGAGGTGCAAGGCTGTTGTGACTTTCTCACACCACCCTCCCTGAGCCACTCTGCAAGGCTGGGATCATCGGGGCTGGCGTTGCATTGGCGGCGAGGCTGGCACGTTCTACCCCCCCCAGCACACATGTGCCTACCCTGGGTGCCATGAAGACACGCTCTTAACTTCTGAGCTCTCAGTCACTGACACTCAGCTTGGCTTAATGTGTGCACATATAGGTGTGTGTGTGTGTGTGTGTGTGTGTACATAACTAACTTTGCTGCTCCTAATGCAAGTTGACTCTGACTGTGGAGAGGGCGTCCCAGGAAGTTGGGAGTCCCTTGCTACCACCTAGCAGCTGAAGCTACCCTTCCTGGGGCAAAGCATTCCTCATAGCAATCTCACTATCAAGGGAGAAGGGAGGGAATATATACCCAGCCTGGATCCCATGGAAGAGAGAGGGGAAAACAGAAGGGGCATGGTGGTGGTTGGGAGGAAGGGGGTTCGGGGGGGGGGGAGAAACGGTTACTCAAAGGTGAAGGGGTCATGGGTGCTGAAAAAGAAGTGCCCGTCAACATGTGTATCCAACGTTTCCTTGTCGCTCTCGGGCGGGAAGCGCTCGTGGCAGATGGGGCACTCCTTCCAATGGGCCGGCGAGGGCAGGTCTAAGGGAGAGACCCCCATGCCGCAAGCCCCCGGCTCCGACATCTGCCGCCCTGTCAGGCCACTGCAAACAGAGGGAGGGAGAAAGAGGAAACAGTGCAAAATGAGCTGCTGAAGTGCTACGTCGTAGGACTGGAAATCTGGCAAAACGATGTCTTGGCTGGGTTTGGGGTGGCAGGGGTTGCTTTGGCATGGGGCTACACCAGGGTTTCGCAAACTTAGACCTCCAGCAGTTTTTGGACTACAGTTCCCACCATCCCTGACTGCTAGATGGTCGCAGTTGGTCCCTTACCTTTCCCACCCCGAGCTGGCCACAGTGATCCATGCGATGGTCACCTCCAGGCTTGACTGCTGTAATTTGCTCTACGCGGGGCTGCCCTTGAAGCTGTCCCAGAAACTCCAGCGGGTGCAGAATGCTGCAGCGAGGCTCTTCACAGGGTCTCTCCCATGGGAGCATATTCACCCAGTGCTTTTCCAGCTGCACTGGCTCCCGGTGGAGTACAGGGTCAGATTTAAGGTGCTGGTTTTGACCTTTAAAGCCCTTCACGGCCTAGGACCCTCGTACCTACGGGACCGCCTCTCCCGGTATGCCCCACGGAGAGCCTCAAGGTCCATAAATAGCAACACCCTAGTGGTCCTGGGCCCTAAGGAAGTTAGATTAGCTTCAACCAGAGCCAGGGCCTTTTCAACACTGGCCCCGGCCTGGTGGAACACTCTGCCTTATGAGACCAGGGCCCTGCAGGATCCGATTTCTTTCCGCAGGGCCTGTAAGACAGAGTTGTTCCGCCTGGCCTTTGGCTTGGAGCCAATTTGATTCCCTCCCCCTCATTCTTTTCTCTTTTCCTTTCTCCTCCTGCGATGAGGCTACATTTTAATATATTAATGTTTCAATATTTTAATGTTGTATTTTATTTTTGTTTTTAAGTTGTATTCATTCAACTTGTTTTTCTTATTGCTTGTTAGCCGCCCTGAGCCCGGCCTTGGCTGGGGAAGGCGGGGTATAAATAAAAATTATTATTATTATTATTAGTTCTGCTAGCTAGGGATGATGGGTGTTGTAGTCCTAAAACAGCTGGAGGGCCAAGTTTGGGAAACCCTGGACTACGCCATGCAAACCCAGGGTAGAGTAAAGAGTCTTGTAGCTTGCTGCGATAGCAGACAAGGTGCATGATTCCTGGAGATGCTGATGGGGCCGTCACGTTAGGCACAGTCCCATTTTAAGAAATATGCATGCACACACCCTATCTCAAGGTGCTAACTCACTAAGAGCCTGTACAAGCCGGTCTGGGAAACCTGTGGACCTCCAGATGTTGTTAAGATTACATCTCCCAACACCCCTGACTTGGAGATCTATAGCATCTTCAGGTCTCCCACCACTGGTGTACAGTCCTCTCTCTGAAAAGGGGAAAGTGTAGTCAAAATAGACTCGGGAGCATCCTAGCTTCCGTTACCTGGCCACTTCATAGAAGCCGCTGCCCAGCTCTGGAAGGAGCAGGTTGGTTTCTTCGCCACCGCTCTGGGCAGCTGCCATCAGCACTGCCTTCTCGTCCTCAGCCTCCTAAATACAGAATGAAAAAGTAAGAAGAGGTACAAGCAGGCCTGGCTTCTGCCAACCCCACGCAGCTCAGCCCCCAACTTCCTTTGCCCATCACTTAGGGGAAACAGATGATGGCATGCCTAGGTTGGCAGGGGAAGCTGTCCTGGGTTCTCTCTTGTGTATGTGAGCAAATGAGAAGCCACTTAAGGTAAAGGGACCCCTGACCGTTAGGTCTAGTTGTGGCTGACTCTGGGGTTGCGGCGCTCATCTCACTTTATTGGCCAAGGGAGCCGGAGTACAGCTTCCGGGTCATGTGGCCAGCATGACTAAGACGCTTCTGGCGAACCAGATTAGCGCACGGAAATGCTGTTTACCTTCCCGCCAGAGTGGTACCTATTTATCTACTTGCACTTTGACATGCTTTCGAACTGCTAGGTGGGCAGGAGCTGGGACCGAGCAACGGGAGCTCACCCCGTCGCAGGGATTCGAACCGCCAACCTTCCGATCGGCAAGCCCTAGGCTCAGTGGTTTAGACCACAGTGCCACCTGCTAGCTGCACATAAAAGGGAGGTATATAATCAGGCTGGGCCATGGGCAAGGGGGGGGAACCCTGAGGTTTGCAGCATTACAAATATATACTTGGAAAACAGAAAAACTAGGGAGGTTAAATACCCCTTTATCCCACCTCCCATAAAACAGGCCTCTGAGGAATGAGCATGCTCAGTGGCTAAAGAGTGGTGACTGACTATTGGGAGGTGGGGTGGGGAGTAGGGTTGGGCGATATCTGGTTTTCAACATCGCAATATATCACTAGCTAAGCATCGTGATATACTGATATATCAGAATGTCTGAAATGAGGATGGAGCTAGGTAGAGGCATTGGCTGGCTTCACAGTTTCTCCTGCATCACAATTTTTGCGTAGCACACAAATGTATCACGATTCACAATATATTGCCAGGTCAATAATTATGAAACTGATATCACGATATGGACTTCAAATCCGTTTGGGATGATATACTGCCCAGCCCTAACACACATCATGATTCCAGATATATTGTCAAGTCAAAAATTATGAAACTGATTATTACAATATGGACTTCAAACAGGTTTTGGATTATATACCTTGGTTTACAACCATAATTCCTTCCGGAGGTCCGGTTGTAAACCAAAACAGGTTGTAACCCAAGGCATGCTTTCGCCAATGGGGACTCCCCCCCCCCCAAAAAGGGTTGTAATAATAAAAAAAGGGTTGTAATCCAAAGAAAGGGACACACACTTCAGGGTTTGATGTGGTTGTAATCCAAAACGGTTGTACAGTGGTACCTCAGGTTACATACACTTCAGGTTACAGACGCTTCAAGTTACAGACTCCGCTAACCCAGAAATAGTACCTTGGGTTAAGAACTTTGCTTCAGGATGAGAACAGAAATCGTACTCCAACAGCAGCAGGAGGCCCCATTAGCTAAAGTGGTGCTTCAGGTTAAGAACAGTTTCAGGTTAAGTACGGACCTCCGGAACGAATTAAGTACAAAACCCGAGGTACCACTGTAATCCAAAACGGTTTGCAAACCAAGGTACCACTGTATCGATATACCGCCTAGCCCTAGTGGGGAGGAAAAGCAAGTAGGAGGAGGGATGGAATGGAGTGTTGTGGCGAAGGGCTTGCTGGCTGGCAGTGAACAAGAGCAGTCTGCACCGAAACAGTTTATTTCAGGTTCCACTTGCGCTAGCTAAAATGGGAACTTCTGCATTCTCTAACACGCCCTGCTTGAGAGCTTCCCAGGAGCACCTGACTGGCCACTGATTAACACAACACACTAGCTAGATGGAGTTTTGGCCGCAACCAGCAAGGAAATTCTTCCGTTCTTAGGTTCATAAAAGTTTGGCCAGATCCATGACTTGCACCCTTCTCTGCCTCCCAGGGCCTCACCGAGTCGGAACTGGAATCCTCGGGCGGCTGCTTGATCTGATTGGCAATGGGTGCCGGCTGGCTGATCACCACGGTGTGAGCGGGTCCCCGGGCACAAGGCGGAGTGGTAGTAGCTGCCCGGTTGTCACACAAACTGTAGGACCCGAGCTGCGCAGGCAGGCGCATGTCCTCGGGACACTCATCCTCAGAGTCGGACAGCGGCGAGTCCAGGGAGCCTGGGAGGTGTGTAGGAGAAGGGACGGGAGAACAAAAGCACACGGTCAAGGGAGAAAGTGTGTGTGTCAGAATTACCGTATTTTTCACTCTATAGGATGCACCTGACCATAGGACGCACCTTGTTTTAGAGGGGGAGAACAAGAAAAAAAAAATTCTCCCCCTCTCTGCTCAGTGCCCCTTCAGTGAAGCGGCAGGAGAAATGGAGCCCCTTCCATTTTTCCTCCCGCTTCGCTGAAGGGGCGCTGCGCAGCTCTCCCTCTCTGCTGAAGCCAGGAGAGTATTGCTCTCCCGGCTTCAGCAAAAGGAACCCGAAGCCTTTGGAGTGCAGCACGAGTTCCCACTGGATTCCAAAGGCTTCAGGAGAAAGCAACACGTAGCCTCCGGAGCGTGGAAGGAGCGCTCCCTCTGCGCTTCGGAGGCTTCGCGTTGCTATTGCTGAAGCCAAGGAGCCTGAATTCGCTCCATAGGATGCACACACATTTCCCCTTAATTTTTGGAGGGGGAAAAAGTGTGTCATATAGAGCGAAAAATACGGTAATTTCCCTAGAGAACAATGGTGCAATTGCTGCCAGGTTGTGGCTCCAGAAGCAAATCCGTCTCTCAAATAATTTATTTTAGGATGCAAAATTAGACCAGGCCGCTTCAGGCACAGGTGGAAAAATCTCAGGTGTTGGGTTGCTTAGACGCCCAAAGATTAGATGCTGGCCCTCAGGAAAACCTTTCAGGCAGGCATCCCCAAACTCGGCCCTCCAGATGTTTTGGGACTACAACTCCCATCATCCCTGACCACTGGTCCTGTTAGCTAGGGATGATGGGAGTTGTAGTCCCAAAACATCTGGAGGGCTGAGTTTGGGGGTGCCTGCTTTAGGGTAGGGGTCACTCAACCTTTTTGGATCAGGGGGCACCTTTTGAATTCTGAGCAGCTGGAGGCACAAAATGGCTGCTATGGGAAGCTGTTGCACAATACAACATGGTTGCCACGGGCAATGCATAACACAAAATTAGAGAGAGAAGCCTTTTCTGTAATTGTACTTCCATATGAGAAAAGGCTTAACTTGTTGGATTTCTTTCTTAAAATTAAGAGAGAAGCAGCAAAAGTGCATTAAACTGGGGGGATGGGACACCAGCTCTTTAGGACTCTAGAGATTCCTACTGGCTGGTGGCCAAACAACTTACTCATCAATCATAGCTGTGACTTCACTATTGGCTAATCATATCGATAGGCGGGAGCAGCCAACCTTATTCATTTCATAGAAACTGCTTAGAAGGGTACCCACTTCATTTCTGGGGGGGCTAGAGATTTACTTAAAAAAATAAGGAGAAAAGCTTAGAGTCTGGGGCCCCTACTTGGGCCCTTGGGATTTGGGGGCAGGGCGGTGGTGGTTTGGCACTTGGGAATTCTGAGCTAATAGATGTTTGGGTTTCTAGGATCTAAAGAGCTTTCAAGTTGTAAAAAGAAAACGAAATACATTTTTTTTATTTTGCCATGACACTGAGTGGAGATGGGGATTGGTACGTGTAATTGGGCATGCAAAGCAAGGCAGGGTGGCGGGGAGACTGACCAGGAGTCTCTGGCGCTGCCTCCTCTTCATCGCAGAGAATAGATTCACTCCATTTCTCGTCGGCCACTTTCTCCAGACGCTCCTCAAGGCGTCGTATGTATACCAGCAGCTCCTGAGGGGCAGGGAATCGGGAAAAGGTCAGCACCAACTGCAGAAACCCACCTTCTGTTAAAGAGCATCCCCATACACCTCCCACATTCTGGGTTCAAGTTCTATTACTATTATTATTATTATTATTATTATTATTATTAACTTTATTGCATTTTTAAAAAATTACAGAGAAAGCATAAATTAAGCATTACATCCAGATATCCAAAAAGAAAATAAAAAAATACAAAAGAAGAAAAGAAAAGGAAAGATATAAAAAGAAAATAAAAAGAAAAAAACAAAAAACAAAAAAGGAGGGGGAAAGAAAATTGATAAATAATAAAAAATGAAAAAGAATTAGTCAAGAACAAAATTGTTCAAAAGATACAAACACTAATTTGAATGTTCTACAGGTTCTCAGAAAGAAATACATTTTTAATCCTTCTTTCCATTCTATCTTTACAGTCACTTTCTTTCTGTTCCAGAAAACTAGTTTGAATCCCTGCTATATTAGATGACTTCTCTCTATCTATCTCTTTGTGGCTTCAACACTTCTCTTAAGTGACAAATATTCTGTATTCGTGTATTAAAACCAGTTTTTCCTATTATATCTGTGAAATTAATCTAAGCACAACCAAATATTGTTTTTGGAACCATATTTTGTCAGGTAGTTTTTAAAGCAATCCCATTCCATTTTTACCTTGTCACCTGAGTCATCTCTTATTAATTCTGTCATTTTGGCTAGTTTGAGGTACTCGCATAACTTTAATTGCCACTCGTCTTTTGTTGGTCCAGTATTTTGCTATTAGCATTCTGGCTGCTGTTGTCCCGTAAAGAAACACTCTTTTATTTTCATTTGGGATGCTAATCGTTAGAATGCCTAATAGGAAAGCTTCAGGTTTCTTTAAAAATGTGTGTTTTAGCATTCTTTTCCACTGAAAATTTTGAAAAGATCATAGATCATCTCAAAAATGGGACATGTCCACCACATGTGGAATGAGGTTCCTTCGTTTTGTTTACATCTCCAACACATATTGCTGTTATTTTTATTTATTTTTGCTAATTTGGATGAAAATAACAGCAACATGTGTTCAAGATGGAAACAAAACGAAGGAACCTTATTCCACATGTAGTAGACACGCCCCCAAATCATGTTCTGTCTTTGAGGTACTCGCATAACTTTAATTGCCACTCGTCTTTTGTTGGTCCAGTATTTTGCTATTAGCATTCTGGCTGCTGTTGTCCCGTAAAGAAACACTCTTTTATTTTCATTTGGGATGCTAATCGTTAGAATGCCTAATAGGAAAGCTTCAGGTTTCTTTAAAAATGTGTGTTTTAGCATTCTTTTCCACTGAAAATTTTGAAAAGATCATAGATCATCTCAAAAATGGGACATGTCCACCACATGTGGAATGAGGTTCCTTCGTTTTGTTTACATCTCCAACACATATTGCTGTTATTTTTATTTATTTTTGCTAATTTGGATGAAAATAACAGCAACATGTGTTCAAGATGGAAACAAAACGAAGGAACCTTATTCCACATGTAGTAGACACGCCCCCAAATCATGTTCTGTCTTCAAGTTCTAGCCATGGGCTGTGGGCAGCATCCAGCGAATGTGACCCATCAGCGCAAGAATTTCCACTTGCACAACGGGACTTTCCCCTCTCATCCCCCAACACTCACCCCATGCCCTCCCCCAAAGGGGCTGCAAGGGCAACCCCTAGAACAGATTTAGGGGGTGTGCGAGGGCAGGGAGTCCCTCTGCGCAAGCGTAAACCCTCGCACAGATGGGGGCCACGATGTTGTGCTAGGTTGGACACAACCCACAGTTGCCTTCCCCCTCTTTCTCAAACTCTGGTTGCTCTCGCCCTTTGCACCTCTTCTGCAAGCTTTCTGAAACGGCCTCTCACCAACCTGCTTTTCGGCCTGGAGCTGCTCTTTCTCCTTCTGGGCAACCTGAAGCGCAGCTCGCAGCTCTCGCAGCTCCCGGCGGCTCTCAGAGACCTGCACCTGATGGGGCAAAAGCGAGAGTTTGCACATTCCAGAATATTAAGGCAATGGGTGGGATGTAGGACAGGGCGGGTGGCGAGCCAAGGAACCAAATATCCAATCTGCAGAGTCTTCTGCATCCCTAAGGCTTCGGCTGTTTTCAACTATGAGCCAGACCTCATCCCTCCCCAACAAATGCCCCCTAAATACCGGTACCTGCTTACATTCCTACTGTTGGGATCTGACCATCTTTCCTTCTATTTCAAATGTTTGGGAATGAGTGTCAATCCCTTTGGAGCCAAAACGACAGCATCCACGCACAAGAGGGAGGTGCCAGCAAACTTGGGTGATGGGGACCCCAAGGCTTGTAGAAGTACAATGGTTTTTTGTTTTGTTTTTAAATTCAAAAACCCCTAAATGGGAAGGCAAGAAAAGCTTCCCAAAAGAGTACAGTGGTACCTCGGGTTACAGACACTTCAGGTTACATACACTTCAGGTTACAGACTCCGCTAACCCAGAAATAGTACCTCGGGTTAAGAACTTTGCTTCAGGATGGGAACAGAAATCGTGCTCTGGCGGTGTGGCAGCAGCGGGAGGCCCCATTAGCTAAAGTGGTACCTCAGGTTAAGAAGTTTCAGGTTAAGTACAGACCTCCGGAACGAATTAAGTTCTTAACCCGAGGTACCACTCTAATTCATTCTGGAGGTCCATTCTTAACCTGAAACCGTTCTTAACCTGAGATACTTTAGCTAATGGAGCCTCCTGCTGCTGGCGTGCAATTTCTGTTCTCATCCTGAAGCAAAGTTCCTAACCCAAGGTAATATTTCTGGGTTAGCGGAGTCTGTCACCTGAAGCGTCTGTAACCTGAAGCGTCTGTAACCCGAGGTACCACTGTATAATGTATTTGATGCGGGCTTTGCAACTGGTAAGGACACTGTGCTGTATTGAACCAAGCTTGACTCAGAACAGACACAAGGAAATTAACGGACCTGAGTTGGTGACACTAGCAATAAACAAGGGCAAGTAGTTTCTACTGGTGGGTGCTGGGTGCTGTATAATGAAACCATCAGAACTCAAAGGGATTGTTATTTTTCTCCCGCCCAGGGCAATGGGGACTCCTCTCCAACTCCCTCAGGGCCCCAATTTACCAGACTGGAGTCACGTTCCTGTGCCAACTCCAAACGCAAGACCTGGCGCTGTGCCCGCTCTTCTTGCAGGCTCTTCTCCAAGCGCAGCACTTCGGCGCTCAGCTTCAGGATCTTGTCCTTCTCTGCCTGCCGAGACCACAGGGTTGCACTGAATGAGTGGGGAGGGGCTGGATGGGACTCCTCCCCACCCCATACCCATCCCCCAATGCAGCAAAGTAATCATGCATTAATTTTGGAATCATTTTGGGGGGTGGATGGAATCCGCAAATCGGAGGGGAAATCGTGCTGACATTTAAAACATACAGTTCCAAAGTCAAATATATATACACACAGTTCCAAAGTCCAGTATATCTGAAGGAAAGTCTCCACCCCCATCGTTTTACCCAGACACTGAGGTCTAGCACCGAGGGCCTTCTGGCGGTTCCCTCACTGCGAGAAGCCAAGTTACAGGGAACCAGGCAGAGGGCCTTCTCGGTAGTGGCGCCTTCCCTGTGGAACGCCCTCCCACCAGATGTCAAAGAGAACAACAACTACCAGACTTTTAGAAGACATCTGAAGGCAGCCCTGTTTAGGGAAGCTTTTAATGTTTGATGTATTACAGTATTTTAATATCTTTTTGGAAGCCGCCCAGTGTGGCTGGGCAAGCACAGCCAGATGGGCGGGGTATAAATAATAAATTATTTATTATCAATTCAAAAACGTGATTTCTACAAGTAACACGGGAGATGACAGAATGTCCCTCCCATTCATTCCCTGCATTTAAAACGTAGCTTTAGTTTGCAAATCAGATTGTCTAGTGCAGCATACCTGTAAATGTTTATTCACATCTCTGTATGCCTTATAGGGAAGAAGTTACTTGGGGGAATATTCCATGTTTGAAAACACAGAACGCCGAGTTTCCTGAACATTGCCTTGCCATTAGAATCCCTGTACAAAGAATGACTGACTCCCACCTTCAAATATCTCAAGGGCTGTCACATGGAAGAGGGAATAAGCTTGTTTTCTCCTGCTCCTGAACCAATGGCTTCAAGTTACAAGAAAGGTGATTCCGACTAAACATCAGGAAAAGCCTTCTGACAGTAAGAACTGTTTGACAGGGGAACAGTCTGTTAGAATTCCTGCTCCGTGATTGCAGTCATGGGATTGTTGTCTATCACATGACAGTGTATGTTTTGACTCCAGAGAGTGGGAAGTGATGGAGACAGGATGTTTGTGTTACTGTGTTCCGTGAAGTGGGACTATTGTCCTTTGTTCTCTCTCTTTGCTGTCTGATGCTAGAGAGAGAGGGAGCCATGTTGCAGGGCTCCGTGTGTGTTTATATGTAAATAAAGTAGATTAGCCAAAATGCTGAGTTGCTGAGGTCTGTTACGCAACTGCACAAACTCTGCAGATCCCTAAGTGTGCCGGTGTCGGTTGGCATCGGTCGCTGTGATGTTTAGGCAGACGAAAGCTTCTGAAACTCCCAAATGATCGACCAGGAGGGAAGGAACATGCCAGTTGGGCATGTGCCTCCACCAGGGTCCTACTCATGTGTAGGCCAAGCTCCTGACACGGACTCCCTTGGGAGGTTGTGGACTCTCCTTCCTTGGAGGTTTTAAAGCAGAGGTTGGATGGCCATCTGTCATGGATGCTTTAGCTGAGATTCCTGCATTGCAGGGGGTTGGACTAGATGACCCCTAGGGTTCCCTTCCAACTCTACAATTCTATGATTGAATCTGCGTATGCTACGTTCCACTTCATCCATGGCACTTTGCCCCTTTCCCCACTAAAAACAGAAGACAATGCTGAATGCGTGCTTGAAGCAGGTGGCAGCTATTGGGCTGAGAGTGCTTCCCTGACCTCCCATCCCTGGCAAGGGGCAGGCTGAGGCTCTCGCCAAAACCTCACAAGATCTCATGCACTCTGCGAGATCTCACTGGAACCTGCCGTGGTCACTGCTGCTTTGGCAGGTGCCGCCACGCAACCTCAGGTGGCAAAATGGGACGCAGCGCCCCTGATCACCAGCGTCGCTGCAACTTACTGAGATGGAAAAGGGAGATGTCAACATGGTTGGGCTGGCACCTTTAACCTTATTAGATACCTACCAATCCAAATGGAAAGCTACACTGCTGGAAAAGCTTAAAGGCTTGGGGATCCCACTACAGACCCTGATAGCGACAGGCTTCGAGAAAGCTAGGACTACAATTCGCCAGCGTATCTGGGACGTAGAATTACAATGCCACATGAGCGAAATGATCAAACACCCAGCAATAAGGGACCATGGGAGAGGTTTCTCTCCAGCTAACTATCTGTCAGGTCTTCAGGTACCCAGATACAGACGGTCTTTTACTCTCGCCAGATTCAACGTTCTCCCTTCTGCCTTACTTCAGGGCAGATTTGAGGGTAAACCATATACAGCACGGGTCTGCCCTTGTGGCTCGTTGGAAGTTGAAACTGCTCTACATGTACTATTACGTTGTCGTCTTTATGAGGATGTACGTTTGACTTTTATTACACCTGTTTTGCAAAAGTCCAGGAAAGAATCGGAACTCCATAGTTTAAAACTACTGCTAGAGGATAAGAATCCCAAGACTACATTAAATGTAGCCAAATTCTGTGTGTCTGCAATCAATCGCAGGAAGCAAGTGGTATCCCATAATGACCAACCCCCCCAAATGTTAACTACAGGGAGCATGCTAATAATTAATTTTAATTTTTATATTTAAATCCTTGTTATACTCATATTGTCCTTTGTATTTCTGATATTTTTTATGATCTGTGATATTGTGTGTGTTGACGCTGGTCTGTGACCGTATTAATAAATTCATTCACTCATTCAACATGGTGCAGAAGCAACTCAGAACTCCCAAGGGCGAGTTTGCACTGCGCTGACCTTCATCCTCCCTCCCGGGAAGCCAGAGTGATAGGGTTTACCATCAGCTACTAAGCATGACTGGGGAACCCGGGGGGGGGGCTCAAACAAACCTCCATGCTCTGCAGCAGTGTGGCCTTCTCCTTCCACCACTGGCCTTTGCCCTCTTTCCACTTGAGAGTCATGTCAGCCAGCTTGATGTTGATCTCAGCTGCCTCCAGGCGGCTCTTGTGCAGATCGGAGATGGTGCGGTCCCGGATGGAGGCGACGCTGGCCAACTCTTCCCCCAAGAGAGCCACTTTCTGCTGGCTGGCAGCCAGAACGTCCTGCGTGGAGCGCAGCTGTTCGCACAGAGACTCCATCTGCACCTGAGTAGAGACAGGATGGGGCAAAGGTGGGGCAAGGGAGGCAACAAGGGGATGCGTGGGTAGGGATGAGCCCATATGACCTCCCAGAATTCTCCATGCTACTTTTGGGAAGCGTGGCAGCTCAGTGCAAGCAGAAGGTGCCAGATTCAATCTCCAGGTAGGGCTTGGATCAGATCCCATCTCAAACCCTCAAAAGCTGCTGCCAGTGTAACTGATGTGTGGGTTTGTGGATTTTGGGTTTGATGGAGTGGGGAGGTGAAGTTCTCCAATATGCTTTCCATGAATCTTCTCTTTTGACAAAGTTGGACTCACTTCATGTTGAATGGAACTATTTACAGTTGGTTTCCATTGGTAGGTGAAGTGGGCAAAGAGAGGACGACTGGGAGGAGTAGGGGGCCAAGCTTATTGCTTCCTTCAACACTATTAAAATAATACTGAATAATTATTAAAACACAGTTGCTGCCAAAATATATGGTGAAATTACGGAGGCCATTTTGCGAAACATTCTCTAGGGAAGGATTGACGTTCTGCCAATGGTTCGGGAGCAGCATGAAAAAAAAATCTGTCAGAAATTTTCTCTCTTTTTGGCAAATTTTCAGCCACACCCTATTATGGGATGTCTTGCCTGCAGGGAGGCCTCGTGGGAACTGTGGTACAATAGCAAGTGGCCCAAACCCCTTGTAACCACCAGTCACGCTAATCAATATACAACCTGATCCATGGAGAGCCAATATGCTATCCCCTCCAGGTGTTGTTGGGCTCCAACTCCCATCAGCCCCCAGCCAGCATGCCCAATGGTCAGGGATGATGGGAGGTGGACTCCAAGAATATCTGGAGGGTACCATGCTGTCTAAGGTAAAGGTAAAGGGACCCCTGACCGTTAGGTCCATTCGTGGCCGACTCTGGGGTTGCGGCTCTCAACTCGCTTTATCGGCCGATGGAGCCGGCGTACAGCTTCCGGGTCATGTGGCCAGCATGACTAAGCCGCTTCTGGCGAACCAGAGCAGCGCACGGAAACACCGTTTACCTTCCCGCTGGAGTGGTACCTATTTATCGACTTGCACTTTGAAGTGCTTTCGAACTGCTAGGTTGGCAGGAGCAGGGACCGAGCAACGGGAGTTCACCCCGTCGCGGGGATTTGAACCACTGACCTTCCGATCGGCAAGCCCTAGGCTCCGTGGTTTAGACCACAGCGCCACCCGTGTCCCACCTTGCTGTCTACTCCCACCCTAATCCCTCTCTCATTCCTTGTTTCTCCACTGATACCCAACTCTCCTAAACCCGAGACTACCACCTGACTTCTTTCCCAGAGACAAGAATCAAACCCTCCTCTCCTCTACAAGGTCTGGCAGAGCAAGAGTTTATGGTGGACCAGGAGTCTATCTGGATTTTGGGTCCGTGAGCTTCCTTATCAGGATCCAAGCCCAATTTCCAGCTACTTCCCCACTTCCCCGGTTATCTCTACCTCCCCCTGTTTTGAGCTCCTCTAGAATGGGGGTAAAGAGATGTGGGTGGTGCTGTGGTTAAACCACAGAGCCTAGGACTTGCCGATCAGAAGGCCGGCAGTTCGAATCCCCACAACGGGGTGAGCTCCCGTTACTTGGTCCCTGCTCCTGCCAACCTAGCAGTTCGAAAGCACATCAAAGTAGATAAATAGGTACTGCTTCGGCGAGAAGGTAAACGGCGTTTCCGTGCGCTGCTCTGGTTCATCAGAAGCGGCATAGTCATGCTGCCCACATGACCCGGAAGCTGTACGCCGGCTCCCTCAGCCAATAAAGCAAGATGAGCACCGCAACCCCAGAGTTGGCCACGACTGGACCTAATGGTCAGGGGTCCCTTTACCTTTAGAATGGGGGTGGGAGGGGAAAATTTGAGTGCCCACTGCTTTATTTCATGGTTTTCCTTCAAGGAACTCAAAGCTACATATGCGGTCCTTCATGTCTGAGTGGGGATTTGAGCCCTGGTCTCCGAAGCCCAACACTGTAACCACCACTGCCTTGGAGATAGAGTGCCTTGCTGAGGTTCAGCATATTCCGCTGTCCGACACTTACGGTGCGGCGATTAGCAGCCGTCAGCTTCTGCTGCAATTTGCTGATGTCCTCCTGCAGCCCCAGAGTCTGTGAGACCTTCTCCCCATGGAGGGTCTTCGCTTCCTGCAGATCAGAGGCCAGGCTGCGGCTCTCCTCTTCTGAGGCCTGCAGCTTTACCTGAGGAGGAGAAAGGAGGTCGTAGTCACAATGTTGAGGCTGCGATACTTGCCCTTCCACTGACTCGGATTTCCTACTCTCCGACTGGGTCTACTCAAGGACCTCATTCCCTTCTGGGAAGCCTTTTGGGGGTCCACATCCCAACAGCAGTAGGGCTTGGTGAGATCTAGTTTTCAACACTGTGATTTATCACCAGCTAAACATACCAATAAATCATGTTGTCTAAAATAAGAATAGAGCTATGTAGACGCCAACAGTAGGGATGGGTGATATCTGGTTTCCAACTTCATTAAACATCGCAATATACTCATTTTTAACAATGTCTGGAAAAAGGATGGAGCTGGTTTTCAACTTTGTGATATATCACCAACTAAACATCACGATTTACTGATATATTTACAATGTCTGAAATAAAGATGGAGCTATGTAGAGGCATGGGCTGGCTTCACAGTTTTCCCACATTGTGATTTTTGCATAGCACACACAAACATCATGTATTGCCAGGTCAAAAATTATGAAACCAGTATCATTATATGGACTTGTAACCAGTTTTGGATGTTATATTGATCAGCCCTAACACAGGTCCTGATTTGCGATATATTGCCAGGTCAAAAACTATGAAACCAAGATATCAATATGGAGTTCAAATCGGTTTTGGATGATATCTCGATATATCGCCCAGCCCTAGTGGGCAGGTCCAGAGGCAAAAACAACTGACATAAGGATGTATTTTAATTGATTGTCTGATTTTATGTTAATGTGTTATACATTTGATGTTAGCCGCTCTGAGCCCGGCTTCGGCTGGGGAGGGCGGGATATACCATATTTTTCGCTCTATAAGATGCACCAGACCACAAGACGCACCTAGTTTTTGGAGGAGGAAAACAAGAAAAAAAAATATTCTGAATCTCAGAAGTCAGAACAGCAAGAGGGATCGCTGCGCAGTGAAAGCAGCATCCCTCTTGCTGTTCTGGCTTCTGGGATAGCTATGCAGCCTGCATTCGCTCCATAAGACACACACACATTCCTCCTTACTTTTTAGGAGGGAAAAAGTGAGTCTTATAGAGCGAAAAATACGGTAAATAAAATTTATTTATTTATTATTATTATTATTATTAGGCTAGCTTCTACACACACTCTCACACCCCACTCTTCCCTCCATCAAGGGAAGCAAGGATGCATTCTAGCCAGGCAGAAAGGCTCAAAGTCCAGGGAGGGGTGTGGCCTGGAGGGCGTTCTGAGGGCCAGGCAGAGAGGCCCTGGGGCCACATTTGGCCCACACGCCTGAGATTTAGCACTCACCTGGTACTGCTCCTTCTCTGCATTCTCCTCTTTGAGCTGGTTGTGAATCTGCTCCTGTTCACGCAGCAGAGACTTGACAGTATCTTTCATTCTGGGGCCCAAAAGGAGAAAGGAGAGGGTGGGGTGAGAAGCAGTGGACCTACTCAGCTTGTGGGCCAGAGTATGAACCAGGCTGGAAAAACGATTAGCACCCTCTGATGGACTCAGCTCAGTTTGTAAACCATAGTGGAGGCCGCCAACTCTGATGCCGTGGCAACTAGGCCATATGGCACCAAACATTGAGCCATGACCCTCACCTGTCTAACTCCGTCTCTCTTTGCAGCATCTTCTCACCCATGGCCTGGATGTCACCCTCCAGCTCTCGGATTCGGGCCACGTGCTCAGCTTCCTGGAGGCTTAGTGTATCTCTCTGCTCGGATACTTCCGCAAAAGAATTCGATAATTCCTGGTAGTGTGGGGAGATGATGGAGGAGTGAGCAACATTCATGGCATTGGGTGGATGCTTGAGACATAACGCAATATTTCTGATAACGTGTGTGTGGCAGAAAACCTGGTAGTTCCAAGGAAGGAAACACAGCCTACAGGCATGGGTAGTATCTGAGCACAAGGCGACCATCACGTCAATTCTTCCTGCTTCTTTTCTACACCCTGAAATCTACACCTCCCTTTTCGGTGGCTTCTCGGCACACTTCCATTTACTTCCTTTTTTTCCATTTCTTTAGGTTGCTGCTACTTTTCTTTGCTATTTCTTGCCTACAGTAATATCACTATGCAACTAAAGCTGATGGGTTAGGTGGTGCCTGGCTAGGTGGCATTGTGACACCATTCTGTCCACTCCGAATCCCTGACTGGATGGGATCAGCCCCAAGAAGAAAAAGAATCAGGAGCTAGCGTGACAGTGATGCCAAGATGAACGGGTCAGATGGATGGATCAGAGTGGAACTAGATGGGCAGCTTCTATTTTTAAAAAAAGACTATCATAATCTAGCATATCAGTGGTGTAGCAAGGGTTGCTGGCTCCCGAGGCAAGGGAAGTATTACACCTACTAACCTGCGGTTCCTGTCAGGGCTGGGAAAGTGCAGTGGTGGTCATGGTGGTGGGAAAGAGTATTCCCAGCAGGGAGAGGGAAGCTGGGGAGGGGACAGCTGAGGCAGCCATTATCATCATCATCATCATCATCATCATCATTATTATTATATTTCATGACATATTTACACCACTTGGTTGCTAAATATACCCCTCAAAGTGGTTTGTGTATCTTTTGAAATTTGTGGCATGCGCCCTCCCCCCAATTTTGCACCTGGACAACAGTCCCTCACGCCCCCCCCCACCGCTACACTACTGCCCCAGCTATCTGAAGAGCAACAACTACTCTGATGTCTTTAAAGCAAATAACTTTTTCCTTTTTTTCAGGCTTTATAACTTCCGTTGATTCATTTTACTCGGACTAGTTTGGTGTTATTTTCACAGATCAGATGCTTTTATTTTGTGCATTAGGTACTTCATGGCATTTAAAACATTTTAACGTTCAAAGTGCTTGAAGGGCAGTGCATAAATCTAAATGAAGGAAGGAATGAATCGCACGAGCCATTCCACTGGAGGACAGACAGCGACAGCGTGAGGAGTTGCCCGTGTCTAACAAAGGGGCTATGACAGGCAGACCCTGTCATAGCAAATTTCAGCTGAAGGTTCCTTGACCTTCCTTGAAATGAACCTCAGGGCAGGAGAACAGGGCACAATTCCCCTCTGGCCCCGAGTAGCTTTGGGGACCTGGAGAGATTGAGAATTCCCAGATCGCTGGGCTTCCTCTCTTGCCTTGTACTGTGCAGCCAGCTTGGTGTGTTCATCCCGAAGCGTGCCCAGGACTGCTTCCAGCTCCGCCACACGGCTTCTCAGCTCTTGAACCTCATCCTTCAGGCGGCACGACTCCTGCAGCAGGGCTCCTTGCTCCTGCCGGCTCTCTTCCAACTGTGTCTGTGAAGGATATAAGGAGAGACACCCGCGAGGCTTCATTAGAGGCCAGGGAACACGTTTAGCAGACTTGCTTAAGCGGCTACCTTAAAGTCACTGTCCCTATGTTGCTATCACACAGGGCTGGAATTGAGAGATGGCTCAGAAGAAACAGCATGACAGAGCCCCTCTGGGCTCTTAACTGATGAGCAGAAATAAACTTTGTGCTGGTTGTCAGGTAAGGACTTTTTCCACCTGCCTTGCCCCACCCTCCAGTCCTGGAGCCTTTCCTAGACCATGACTTTGAGGACAGCAGAAGCAGCTGGGAAAACAGAAGCTCAGGGATATATATATATATGTGTATATGTATATGTATATACACACACATACATACACACACACACAGTCATACATCGGGTTACAGACGCTTCAGGTTGGGTTTTTTCAGGTTATGGACACGCCAAAAACCTGGAAGTACCGGAATGGGTTACTTCCAGGTTTTGGTGGTCGTGCCGAATCAGAACCCGCACATGCACAGACGCGACGCTACGGGTTGCGAACGCTGCGGGTTGTGAACGCTGCGGGTTGTGAACGTTCGCAACCTGAGTGTCCACTGTATATATTTATAAGCTGTGTGTCCTTTTCCCCTCAATTTGATTCTTTTGTATGGTTTGTATGCATTGTGACTTGTTTTTAGTGATTACTGTAATGGTCCAGTGTAAACTGTTTAATAATTATTTGCCGATATTTAATTTTACAGTTTACGATTACATTCTAATGGATTGTTGCATATTGCTTTTATTTGATACAGGCTGTTTATTTTAAAGTTATGCTTTTATCATGGCTTTTTTTGTATCAGATCAGGTGGTTGTTAGGTGTGTGATCTTTGCTGTCTCTTTTGTGGTTTCCAGAGCTCATAAACCACCTTGAATATAGTAATTTAGAAAGGCGGTATACAAATTAAAAGTGAAATGAAATGGGAAAAATAGACTTGAAGGAGCAGATATGTGAGTCCTCTAAATTTATTAAAAGAGACACACACCCCTGCTGGACATGGAAATCACAGAGAAGAAGATTAGCGTAGTCTTTTACTAGATGAATTAGCTTTCCATCTACAGGAAGACTGCTTCCACAGGGAGAATTCAAAGATACGATTTCCCTCCTGCATACCGATGTGGTACAGTTTGGGAAAGACCATACCATGTTGCTTTCAAGGCCAAGTCATTATTTTAGTGTTGGGAAACCTGTGTGGATTTTCCTGGGCTCCCAGCTCCCATCAGCATTGAACGGCACAGCCAAGGGCTACGGATGATGGGCACTGATGGGCAAATGATCCGCCAGGCTGAACAGTCAGGGGGCTTCTGAAATTCAGGGTGTTGCTTGGGAGTACGTTACCTCCAGCAGGGCGGCCTTGGGAACCACCAGCAACATGTCGGTGCCCCCACCGTCATCGCTCGCCTCCTCCAGAGTGACGAGCTCATCCATGGGCCGCGGCTCGCTGAACTGGAAAGGGGAGCTTTGACCACGCACCTCCCCACGGCGATCCACGTAGCGGAACTGGTACTGCTGTGGGCCTGGCTTGGGCAGGTAGCTGGCTGTAAACACAACAAATTGGTTTGTTTACTGATCTGTGTTACGTACAGTCTGAAGAAAGCAAAATGGTTGACACTGCAGCAAAGGAAAGAAATGAGGCTCTTGAGCAGGGGTCAGCAAACTTTTTCAGCAGGGGGCCAGTTCACTGCCCCTCAGACCTCGTAGAGGGCCAGACTATATTTTGGGGGGGAAAATGATTCAAGAGCACCACGAGCCCTGATGCCTGCTTACCTGTGTCTTGCGAGTGGCAGGGGTTGATGGCGATGGCGGCGGAGGGAGCCAGCGTTTGTCCGCAGACAGCTTCCGGGTCATGTGGCCAGCATGACTAAGCCGCTTCTGGCGAACCAGAGCAGTGCACGGAAATGCCATTTACCTTCCTGCCGGAGCAGTACCTATTTATCTACTTGCACTTTGACGTGCTTTCGAACTGCAAGGTGGGCAGGAGATGGGACCGATCAACGGGAGCTCACCCCATCGCGGGGATTCGAACAGCTGACGTTCCGATCGGCAAACCCTAGGCTCTGTGGTTTAGACCACAGCGCCACCCGCCTTGTTTTAGAAAAGCACAATTTAAGCATTGCTTTGGCATCTCTAGCCATGAGTAACCTGATGCGGACCATCGGACCTCCTAACACCCACCTTGGAACTGAACATTACAGTGAAGAAGGGCTCCTGCGGAAGCTCCTCCATCTGGAACTGTGCACCACACAAAGGTATAATAATCACGCACTGAAGAGGACTCCACCTAGTGATAAAATGTGAAGATTTTTATGGTAAAAGTGTGATAAAAAAATGGTTAAAAATTATGATATATGTACAGTGATAGCTCGGGTTACATACGCTTCAGGTTACAGACTCCGCTAACCCAGAAATAGTACCTCAGGTTAAGAACTTTGCTTCAGGATGAGAACAGAAATTGTGCTCTGGCGGCAGCGGGAGGCCCCATTAGCTAAAGTGGTGCTTCAGGTTAAGAACAGTTTCAGGTTAAGAACGGACCTCCGGAACGAATTAAGTACTTAAGCCGAGGTACCACTGTAAACAGCGAAAGATGAGGTAAAATGAAAATCAGATAGGGGGGACTTGGGGAAGCCCACCTAACAATGTTTAGAAACAATAAGGATAAGACAAGAATTTGTTTGTATTGTTTTTTTTCCTGTTTGTGTTGTTTAGTTGTGTTATAAAATGAATTTAAAAAAATTTGGGGAAAAAGATAAGAGGACTCCACCTGGGAAAGGGAATGGGAAGAGAGCATGAGAGTAGCCCATGTCCCCAGAGCTTCCCTAGGGCATGTTGCTTAAAGGTAAAGGGACCCCTGGCCATTAGGTCCAGTCGTGACCGACTCTGGGGTTGCGGCGCTCATCTCGCTTTATTGGCCAAGGGAGCCGGCGTACAGCTTCTGGGTCATGTGGCCAGCATGACTAAGCCGCTTCTGGCGAACCAGAGCAGTGCACGGAAATGCCATTTACCTTCCTGCTGGAGCGGTACCTATTTATCTACTTGCACTTTGACGTGCTTTCGAACTGCTAGGTTGGCAGGAGCAGGGACCAAGTAACGGGAGCTCACCCCGTGGCGGGGATTCGAACTGCCGACCATCTGATTGGCAAGTCCTAGGCTCTGTGGTTTAACCCACAGCGCCACCCACGTCCCTAGGGCATCTTGCTTAGATCAGCACATTATTATACAGGATGAGGGACGCACAAGAGGTTCAGGGAATATTACAGACTCGTTCACTTTTGACTCTGGCTTGGGCTACCCTTTGCCCCTCCCATCCTCAAAACGTGGTAGGAGCCGGGGTTCTTTGGGTACAGCAGAGCAGATGAGCTCAGAGGTCCCTCCTGGCTCTAAGCTTCCGTGAATCTTCTGCCTCATTCTGAACTGTCTCAGTGACAACTGCCATCTACATTTCACCCTTAACACCAGCAGCAACAGGACTAAACAACCACTGTTTGGCACCTCCAGGATGGAGGAGGAATTTCTCAAGTCCTGAGTCTCAACGCAAACCTAGGCTTCCGTGGTTAGGCAAAGAATCATGGGCATAGGGAGACAACAGGACTGGACAAGGGTCCCCGATTATAAAATCATAGAAAACGGGAGATACGTAGCCACTCCAGCAACATATCTCTATTTCCTTGCATCCAGAAACCCAAGAAGGGCTTTCACTCTTGCTAGAAGCTCAGCCTTGCCCTCACCGGTTCTGGAAGGCTCCTATAGTAGAATCCCGTACGCACAGAGACTTTGCGCCTGCCCATTAGGGGAAATAGGAAGCCCCGAACATATATATATATTTAGATGTCCTTTTAAAGCTGAGATTCGTAGAGACACCATTGATCCTTTGCTGAAGAGGCTCGCCGGTCTTTCAGAAAAGGCTAAACTTAATTCTCTCCTCTTAGGCAAAGATCACAAGACGACCTGGCTGGTAGCCAGATTCTGCGCCCAGATTTGTAGGCACAGATCATCCTCTAGAATAAAATAGCTTACTAGGGAAAAGCTGAAGTTGCCCTTTGGGGCCACCTTAGGGTCAATTTTTATGGCAGCCCAAATTTCAGTTGTAAGGGTGTATGTATATACAGTGGTACCTCGGGTTACATACGCTTCAGGTTACATACGCTTCAGGTTACAGACTCCACTACCCCAGAAAGAGTGCTTCAGGTTAAGAACTTTGCTTCAGGATGAGAACAGAAAACGTGCTCCAGTGGTGCAGCGGCAGCAGGAGGCCCCATTAGCTAAAGTGGTGCTTCAGGTTAAGAACAGTTTCAGGTTAAGTACGGACCTCCGGAACGAATTAAGTACTTAACCCGAGGTACCACTGTATCTCAATTTTAACTCATGAGCTATTGCTGAAATCTGCTCTAATTGTATATTTTATCTTTATGAACGCTGTTTTTATTCTGATATGCAAGCTGGTCTTTGACCATAATAAATTATCTCTATCTATCTATCTATCTATCTATCTATCCCAGGCTTTCCTGCCCCCCCCCCAAATTCAGTTTGAGTTGGGAAGCCATTTCTCCATTACTGTTGGAGGCAGGCAGGAAGGAAGCATACTGACTTGGGTCCCTGAATTTCAATTTCTAATGAGAGCAGGACAGAAAAGGAAACCCGCAGCCTGTGCCTGCATAAACAGCCCTCCACTGTGCTGCACAAAGGGACTGTGTTCCTCCTTTTCTCTCTCCTCCCTTCCCCTTCCCCCAAGGACCACACTGGATGGACGCTGGGTCTTAAGACATGGAGCAGGGTGGAAGGGAAGAAATGGCATTTTTAACGCTCCCCTGTATATAGAACATCCTGTAACAGCAGGCTCAAAGTGGGAGAACGAGAAAATCAACCTCCTACTGTGTTGGGGTTCTATTTACAAAGCTCCCTAAAAAAATAAAATGCGGAAGAGCACTGTGAAAATGAGACACCCTCTTCACTGGCAGTCTGAAGTGGTATAGCCCACTCTCCACCTTCAGGACTCTCACATCTCATTCTGCTCTTTGTGCAGACCAGAATTGGCAATTGTGTGCATCAACAGTGCAGTCAAGGCCCTCTCTGAGTGAGGATCCACGAAACCAGGGTTCGAATCCTTACCTGGCCATAAAGCTCACTGGGTGACCTTGGGTCAATGACAGCCTATCAGGCTTGTTCACCTCGCAGGGTTGTTGTGGGGATGGAGCGGGGGAGAGCAGGATATGCCGCCTCAAGCTCTTTGGAGAAAAGGGTGGCATATATAAAGGCAATAAAGCAACAGCTGAGGGAAATGAGAACTGTCAGGAGAGGGAGAGGGACCCAGCCGGGAGAGAGGCAGCTCAGCTGGGGAAGGAAATCAGCGCAACACCAGGGATAAAGGGGGGCAGATGGGGGAATCGGCGAGAGGGCTCCAGGACTCTTCGCTGGACACCAGCGGGGAGAGCACGGGTCCTCCGCTACCCACGCCCTCCCTGCGCAGAAGACTTCCGCGCAGGGAGAGTAGGAGGAGACTTGGCGTCAAACAGCTTTTATGCTGGAAAAGATTTAAGAAACGCCCACTGATGGATTCTGCTAGCGACTGAGGCAGCCACGAAGTGAAGGGCTGTCCAGACAGGAAAGGTTTAACAAGCCAACTTAGCCAGGAGTGGCGGTAACTTACGCACGAGCAACCCATATTCATCACAAGAACATACCGCATTTTCGCTCTGTAAGACGCACCTAGTTTTTGGAGGAGGAAAAGAAGAAGAAAAATATTCTGAATCCCAGAAGCCAGAACAGCAAGAGGGATCTGGCTTCTGGGATAGCCTCTTGCTGTACCGACTTATGGGATGAAGGCTCCCCCTGCCCGGAAGAGGCTGCTCAGGGCTAAGCCAGAAGCCAGGACAGCAAGTGGGATCGCTGCGCAGCAATCCCGCTTGCTGTCCTGGTTTATGGGATAGCCACACACAGCCTCTCACGGGCAGCGGGAGGAAGGCTCCCCCAAGAGCCGCGCTCCCTTTAAAGAGTGTGCAGCTCTTGGGGGCTTTTCCCCGAGGAGGGAGAAGGGCAGCCGTTCTCCCTCCTCGGGGAAAAGCCCCCAAGAGCCGCACACACGCTCCATGCGGCTCTTTAAAGGGAGCGCTGAGCAGAGCCTCCCGCCTGCATCCGCTCCATAGGACGCACACACATTTCCCTTACTTTTTAGGAGGGGAAAAGTGTGCCTTATAGAGCGAAAAATACGGTATGTGTCCTGTGTTCGAAATTAGTCAGGTGCCGGGCACATTTCGCACCTGGCTTCCAACCACTTGTGACCAAGGAAAGATGCCTGACACCTCCACCGTCTGGAGGTGCATGCCTGGGGACCATTGAATCTGGACTGTTTTCACACGCTAATACCATATCCTGTAGAATTCGATCAGTTATATCTTATCTGCACAATCGGAATGAATTTCTGGAACAAAAATGCTTTTTTTCTGTGCAGCCTGAGCAGGAGCAGTGAACAACTGTTGCAGTTTGTAAGTTAGCAAAAATGTATAAGGCAAGTACAAGTATCACCTGGAAATGTAAAGAAAAGGAAGGCACTTTTTACCGTATGTGGTGGACCTGTAAGGCAATAAAAGTATTCTAGGAAATGATATAGAATGAATTGAAAAAACCCAGTCGCTTTTCTGTTAGGAATTGTAGGTATTGGTATTCCTAGGGAGCAGAAAAGACTTTTTATGTACATGGCAACAGCTGCACGGATGTAACTAGCCCAGAGATGGAAAGACGACAAAGTCCCCACCAGAGAAGAATGGCAAACTAAGCTGTTGGATTATGCTGAAATGACAAAACTGACTGGGTAGCTCAGAAACCAAGAAGACCAAAACTTTAATAAATAATGGGGGGGAATTACAATTGACCTGACAGACCAATGTAAGCAGATGAAAACATTAGCAGGATTGCAATAACACATGTAATGTAGTAAATATTGATAAAATGGAGAAATATAAAATATGGATTATGAAACAGTATGCAGTTGAAAAGGTTGACAATAGGACCCATGGAGGGGCAGGTGGGAAGTCTAGAGATTTGGAGAAATCTCTAAATATGGATATGTATTTTGTACAGTGGTACCTTGGGTTACATACGCTTCAGGTTACAGACTCCGCTAACCCAGAAATATTACCTCGGGTTAAGAACTTTGCTTCAGGATGAGAACAGAAATTGTGCTCCGGCGGCGCAGCAGCAGCAGGAGGCCCCATTAGCTAAAGTGGTGCTTCAGGTTAAGAACAGTTTCAGGTTAAGAACGGACCCCCGGAACGAATTAAGTACTTAACCCGAGGTACCACTGTATTGCTATAATTTTACAGCTGTAAAATCAAGTCAAAATTATTTCAAAAAATAAAATAAAAATTCTTGCCGTTTGTCTTAGCTTACCCCACCTCACAGCCCTGCTCACAATTGTGAAGAACATTCTTATGTTATGAATGGACCATGTCACCATTAAGAAAAAGAGGTCGGAATAGGCCAATAGATATTTGGACAATCCCTGGATCAAGTGCCTTTTCTTCTTTAAGTTCTCAAAGCTCTTCACCTAGCTCAAGTTTGTCATCTGAATTAGCCAGGTGTTTAACTGAGACTCAATCACAGTCACTTGCAGATCGGTAGCCGTGTTGGTCTGCCATAGTCAAAACAAAAAAAATTCCTTCCAGTAGCACTTTAAAGACCAACTAAGTTAGTTCTTGGTATGAGCTTTCATGGGAATGGGTGTTGGCATCAGTGTGTCCTTCAGCTCTCTATATTGGACAAACAGGCCAAACCTTACGCCAAAGAATAAACGGACATAAATCTGACATCAAGAATCACAAGACAGAGAAACCAGTAGGAGAACACTTCAATCTCCCAGGACATTCTATACAAGATCTCAAAGTAGCTGTTTTACTACAAAGGAATTTCAGAAATAGACTGGAAAGAGAAGCTGCTGAATTGCAAATCATTACCAAACTTAAAACCATGGAGACACCTGGCCTGAACAAAGGCATTGGATTCTTATCTCACTATACATGACAAAGCCATTTTTCACCTTCTCACCCCTTGCTTTTTCCTGTAAGACCTATTGCCGTCCTTAAGAGTCGTCAACAAGCTCATCACAGCCATCTGCCAATCACCCATTCCCACCCCCCTCTGAGTAATACCCCTCCCCACCTTCTCACTGTATAGAAGGATCTGGCAACTTCTGTTTCAGTGTATCTGAAGAAGTGTGCATGCACACGAAAGCTCATACCAAGAACTAACTTAGTTGGTCTTTAAGGTGCTACTGGAAGGAATTTTTTTTGTTTCAATCACAGTCAGTCCATCATTTGAAAAAACAAGACTTTAGAGCCATCTTGCCCCCAAAGGGCAACTAGACTTTCCGTTTTGGTGACTGTAACCTTGGTTTAAGGAGCCATTTGGCACCTAGCTTATATATCTGAGTTTCTAACACTGTAGTGTGTCCCATTTTCCCTCCCCCCAACTCCCCAGCTGAAATACCTTAAATATCCCAATCCAGTCTCTGGCGGATGGTTTCATGCCAGGCGGCAGGCTGTAGTGACACTCCACCTTGGTGTGGGGCACGTAGCTCGAGGTCACATTCAGAAAAGCCACGCCAGGTTGGGACTGTACTTCTTCCATCTCGGCGGCTGTGAGGCAAACGAGGGTGGTTAGTGGGGGAAGGCAAGCCACAAAATTGTAGAGTTGGAGGGGACCCCAGGGGTCATCTAGTACAACCCCCTGCAAGGCAGGAATCTGAACTAGCTCCATAGGCATGGACACCCCACCCACCAAACATCTGGACATTTCATCAGGCTTCTCTTCCCCACTGTTGAAATAGAGATTGTAAGCTCAGTGGGGCAGGGACCAGTCTTTTTTCTTTTTAGGGGGGTGGGGTGGAAAGTTGTCTTCCACAACAGAAATATCTGCCCAGCTGGGGGGGGGGACATCGAGGCCACAACCCTTATGGGAGTACGCTGCATTGAATAATATGGAATTTATTCCTGAGATGTGGGGGGCACTGTGGTCTAAACCACTAAGCCTAGGGCTTGCCGATCGGAAGGTCGGTGGTTCGAATCCCAGTGAAGGGGTGAGCTCCCGTTGCTCGGTCCCAGCTCCTGCCAACCTAGCAGTTTGAAAGCACGTCAAAGTGCAAGTAGATAAATAGGTACCGCTCCAGCGGTAAAAGACGTTTCCGTGCACTGCTCTGGTTTCACCAGAAGCGGCTTAGTCATGCTGGCCACGTGACCCAGAAAAAATATCTGTGGAGAATCGTCGGCTTCCTCGGCCAGTAAAGCGAGATGAGCGCCGCAACCCCAGAGTCGTTTGCGACTGGACTTAACTGTCAGGGGTCTTTTACCTTTACAGTCGCACCTTGGATCCCAATCGCCTTACATGTCAAATGTTTTGGCTCCTGAATGCCGCAAATCCAGAAGTGAGTGTTCCAGTTTGCGAATGTTCTTTGGAACCCGAATGTCTGACACAGCTTCCAACTGGCTGCAGGAGCTTCCTGCAGCCAATCACAAGCCGCGTCTTGGTGTCCGAACGTTTTGGAAGTCAACCCAACTTCCGGAACGGATTTCCATTCAACATCCGAGGTACGATTGTAATAATAAACAGGATTGCACTATGCTTATTCTTTGGATGCAAACTTCTCAGCACAGTTTCGGTTTCCACATCTGGATGATGTGATTGCATCAGGCACGCAGCTCTGGCCTGACCTTGTTATCCTCTCCTACCCCAACAAATTACAAATTCCGTGGATCAAACTAAGACTGCAGTGCAATTATCTGCTTATTATGCACGTGTGCTTAATCCCATGTACTTCAGAAGTGGGGAACCATTTCCCATCTGAGGGCCACATTCTGGGCAATCTTCCAAGGGCCAAATGTCACTGGTGGGAGGGATCAGGGGCAAAAAAGACCCGTGTCCCTATTTTCCAAGGACAGTCCCAGATTTACAGAAGCCGTCCTGGTTTCCAGTTCGATCCTGGAATGTCCCGCTTTCCCTAAGGACGTCCCTATTTTCATCAGAGAAATGTTGGAGGGTCTGGAGTCATGCTACCCCTGACCCAAGAAGAAACTATACAACTTTTGGAAGACATCTGAAGGCAGCCCTGTATAGGGAAGTTTTAAAAAAACATGCTTAATGTTATATTATATCTGTATATATTTTGGAAGCTGCCCAGAGTGGCCGGGGCAACCCAGTCAGATGGGTGGGGTATAAATAGTAAAATGATGATAACAATGGAATAGGATATCCCTACTTTCATCAGATAAATATTGGAGAGTATGCAAAAGCAGGTGAGGAACGAACACGAATTTCACCTTTGTAAAGTAGGCTAGATTCTGCACATATCTCTCTAACCTCCCACCCAGGCAAACAAGAACTCATTCCGGCAGTCAAAGCACTCAAGGAAGTTTGTGAAGCATGGCCAGGTGAGAGTTTTAAGGGCCAGAAAGCGAACCCTGGAGGGCCACATTCTGAGCCCAGGTCTGAGGTCCCTCACCCCTGACGCATTTCATTCCCAATCCAATAACTGGGTTTTGTGTTTTTGTTCTGCGCAAGTAGGAAACTTTCAGCAAAATGTTGCCTTCAGGCAGGAAGGGGAAATGTAAGGATGCAATGGGCAGTGGGGGATTCATTTGCAGAGCAGCGTTGATAGAGATCACGAGGAAAGGTCAGAGCAGGACACAGAAATATCACCCCCTCGATCGTATTTCCACAACTACGAGGACCTATTCATTATGAAGTGTCACGACTGATTTATACCGTTGCATTGCAGTGTGTGTGTGTGTGTGTGTGCACGCGTGTGGCAAGTCTCTGCTCCAAGGAGCTTACAGTCTGCACTGAGACAATGAGGAAAGTCACCAGAGGGAGAGAAGAGGCAAAGATAAAGAGTGAATGAATGTGATTCAGCGCCATTGTGTATAAGGCGTTGTTTCAGTAGGGCTAATGGGTTCAGTTAAGGACATGGCAGAAAATCATAGAGTTGGAAGGGACTTAGGATCAGTGCAGGAATATGCAGCTATGAGGCTTCAAGGGGTGGTGGCAGTGGGGAATTTGGCGGGAGAAAGAGAGAGGCGATAATGTGTTGATATTCTGTGAGTGAGGGATTTAGAAAACGAACATGCCTGGAATCCACTTTTTGCATGAGATTCCGGATTATTCACCAACTGCGCCTTGCCACTGCAAGGATTTTTGCTTGTGCAGCACAAATGCCAACACCCCCCCCACAATCGTGCACGCCACACCCTCCCCAAATTTGCTTTAGAGGGTTGCGGTAACCCCTACAGCAAATTTAGACTGGGGAGGGGGGGGGAGGAGAGATGGCTTAATGCCCTGTCGGGCAAGGAGAAATCCTCGCACTAGGAGAACAAGACTTAGCGTGAGATTGGATTCCGTCCTCTGTAAAATCAGTGAGGTAGGCCAATGTTGGTTACAGGAAATGACACAACCAGGTCATGCTCCTTTCCTGAAAACTAATGACAACAACTGTGCAATGCAGAGTTGTGGGAGGGAGTGAACAGTCACACCCAGACAGGTTGGCCACCTTTATCGGTGTTCGTTTGGCATTATTATAATTAAGCGTAACAATTTCCCTGGCACCTTCAGTGGAAAGGGCACATGGCTGCATCCAAATCTTTTATTCACACAACCAATATGATAGGAGGAAGATAGGCTGAGGGAGACATTGCCCCCGAGCCACACAGCAAGTTTCATTACTGAATGGGCAGAGATTTGAAGCAGGATCTTCCACGACAGTTCCTTTCACTGTCAGAGGCAATAGACTTCTGAATACCAATTGCCGAGAAATGAGGAAGTGCTGTTGTGCTGAGGTCCAGTGTGTAGGCTGCCCACAGACTGGCCATTGTGAGAACGGGCTGCTGGAATAGATAGGCCGTTGGCCTTATCTAGCAGGGTTTGTATTGTGTTCTTATGAGGGGCTGGCATCCCTGAGCATAGCTGTCAACTTACAGATTTGAAAATAAGGGACCAGCAGCCTCAAAAATAAGGGATCAGCAGCCAAAATAAGGGATTTTAGTCAACCAGCTGAAATACGAAGTCAAAAGGGACCAGATAATTTGGGAGAGCAGCGCCGGTTTTTAGCCCTTCGTTTCCAGAGGTTGCTGCTCAAGACACCAGCCGATGAAACACTGCAATTAAATAACTACAAGCAGCAACCACTTTTTGCACAAAACGAAGTCCAAGCTACAAAGATGCTGCTGCAGTTCTGTATCTTTTTCTCGTGCTCCATCTGCAGCTCTCAGTTCCATCAGGCGGGGTGGGAGGAAGGGGGGGGGAATAGCGCCCGAAGTAAACCCGCAGATCAGACCATCTATGCTAGTCTACCACTACAAATCTATGGGAGAAGCGCTTGCGGTCCTTCCCTTGTAGCCCTTGGAACACCTGCCCACGCCTACTCCTCCGCCTCCTCCTCTCTCTGAACTGCTTTCTCTATGGTTGCCCTCACTCTCCTCTCAAGGCTCCTTAGCAATTCATAGGCCATGCCAGGCTGCCCATCTCATCCGGGTCCTTCAGCAGCACAGCCACAGTACAGCCTAGCAGGAGCGGGAGCAGCGGCGACGGGCAGAGGTGAGGCCCCAGGCAGAGACACTCAGTTCGGCGGCCATGAGGAGGATGGCGGCAGAAAGGCCCAAGTCTCCCGCCAGTCCTGGCGGGGAGGGGCTCCCAGGGGCTGAGGCTGGTGAGAGGAGGCCGGAGGGGGGCGGGCTGGAGGGGGGGCGGAGGGGGGCGGGCCGGGCAGCCAAGCAACACAGTTGGAGCCTCCCTCCTCCCTGGCCGGCAGGCAGAGGAGCTGCTTCCTTTGAAACCCGCGAAATTTAAGGGACATCCATCAATAAGGGACAGCAGCGGGACATGGCACTGGGATAAGGGACTGTCCCGCCAAATAAGGGACGCTTGACAGCTATGCCCCTGAATGCGTTGCTCACCAACCCCGCCTATCCCCTACCCTCTTCCAAATCCCCCATCCCCTCACAGCTTGCCCAATCCCAGGATCCCACTGCTGACACCACTCATGGAGAAGGGAACGAAGAGAAAGTCTTTCTCCCCTTCGCCCTGTGCTGATCCCGACAGATGGAAGGGTGCATTTTGAAGGGCACACTTCCTTCTGATGGTGGTGGTGGCAGACAAAGGGGGAAAACACTTCCCCCTCCTTGGTGACGATGCCTGCCTGCTCTAGATCACCCCCTTCACCTGTTAGCTCGCTCGTTCAGCTGGGCTGCCTGCTTTCTCGGACCCCAGACTTCCCTCACCCTGCTGTGCATGCATGCAAACAAGTATAGAACGCCCTCCCATCAGATGTCAAGGAGATGAGTAACTATACGCTTTATAAGACATCTGAAGGCAGCCCTGTACAGTGGTACCTTGGGTTAAGAACTTAATTCGTTCTGGAGGTCCGTTCTTAACCTGAAACTGTTCTTAACCGGAAGCACCACTTTAGCTAATGGGGCCTCCTGCTGCTGCTGCACAATTTCTGTTCTCATTCTGATGCAAAGTTCTTAACCCGAGGTAATATTTCTGGGTTAGCGGAGTCTGTAACCTGAAGCGTATGTAACTCGAGGTACCATTGTATAGGGAAACTTTTTAACGTGTAATGTTTTGTTGTGTTTTCATATACAGTGGACGCTTGGGTTGCGAACGTAATCCGTGGGAGAGGCACGTTCGCAACCAGCAGTGCACGTCTCCGCACGCGTGGGTTCCAATTTGGCGCTTCTGCGCATGCGCAGAGAGCAATTTAGCGGTTCTGTGCATGCACAACCACCGAAACCCGGAAGTAACCCATTCCAGTACTTCCGGCGTGTTCGTAACCTGAAAAAATGCAACCTGAATCTTCTGTAACCTGAGGTATGACTGTACAGTGGTACCTTGGGTTACAGATGCTTCAGGTTATAGACGCTTCAGGTTATAGACTCTGCTCACCCAGAAATAGTACCTCGGGCTAAGAACTTTGCTTCAGGATGAGAACAGAAATCGTGTGGCAGCAGTGCAGCGGCAGCAGGAGGCCCCATTAGCTAAAGTGATACCTCAGGTTAAGAACAGTTTCAGGTTCAGAATGGACCTCCAGAATGAATTAAGTTCTTAACCTGAGGTACCACTGTACTGTATGTTGGAAGCTGCCCAGAGTGGCTGGGGCAACCCAGTCAGATGGATGGGACATTATTATTATTATTATTATTATTATTATTATTATTATTATTATTATTGCGGGTGGCAGCGGCAACAACCAAGGGAAGACGAGAAAGCCAGCATGGACCACCCACCTGCCCACTCATTTCTTTCCTCTGCTTACTGGAGCCGCTGGCCTGCTTGTTTTGCTCAAACGCTCCATTTCATCTTACAAAAATGCTATATAATATTATGTAATAGTAAGATAAGTCTCCACAGCTTCACATAGATTTGCTGCACTTCCATTGTCAAGTGGGTGGGGCACGGCTGAAAAGGCTTTTGGCTGTAAAGAAATTAAAGAGTTCAGGTTTTGCCAGTGCTGCCCATAACTGGAACTGAAAGACCAGCGACGGAGGTGAGAACGATTTGCCGGTGTTCTCCTTGAAGTTTTATTTCCAGCCCCAGGTAGCAGTGGCATGGCATACAGCTGGGAAAACCAAGGGACTAGAAACTTGTACAGACTTGGCTTAGAGATGAGTAAGAATTCGGACACTCATTGATTTCATTGGACCCAGTGGTCTTCAAATTGTGTTGAGGAGAAATTCAGGGGTTCCTTAAAAGCTCACTGTGGGCTCCTCACTCAAAACACCAACAGAGGTGACCAAATTTCCTTGAAAGACAGTTTACCCACTACTATTTGTGTCCCCCTGTCACATTCAGCCACTCTTGGTGTGGGGCAACAGCTAGACCCAACAGGCCCAGTTAGCACTGCATATAAATTTACTGGGCGACTGGCACGCATCCCAGAATGCATTGCAATACTAATTGGTTCTGTGGCAAATGTACAGTATAGGATTTCCTTAGCACAGAAGTCAACAGATGAAAAATTCCCTGCAGAGTGTTTGAAAACCACCGACTTAACCTAAAGAATCGAGGAACTGGAGATTTCTTTCTTGTGTGGGCCACTGGCAGACAGCACTCTCTTTAGTTTTGCCCAGAGCACAGCATATATAAAGGACTGCTCCTACAGTATGAGCCTGTTCTATATGTATTTATTTTAGAACACTAATATTTCCCGCATCATAGACCTGAGAGGCTCTCAAAGAGGCTCACAAAAGATTCTCAGAATAAAAACAACATTCATGTCCGGTTTCAGCAACAGAAATAACACGGCGTCCCTAGGGTGCCCAGATTATTTCGCTGGCATTTCCTGCCCTCGTCCGTGGTCTTCCCAGGTGTTAACTATTGGCCTCTGCCTACAAGGGAGCAGATCCCACTGTCAAACTGAGCTGCTGGAACTCACTGAGCGAACGGTAGAGGCCATTATAAGAGTCCCCTTATATGCATCCTCAGGGGTCAACATATGAACATCAAAAGTCAGGTGGGAGATAACAAGATAAAGGTCTTTATTGGTTGTGGTGTTGCATATTTGGGACACTTTCTGGTACCCAAACTGATGTTGGTACTAGGCAAGAGACATTTGCTTATTTGCCCAGACATCCCAACTTTTTCTTTTTTCTTTAATGGGATGGCTTTTCTAGGGTTTTGTCATCTGGATATGGCCTGCTGGTTTTGTGACTTTACTGGTCTTGTTTATTTATTTTGATTTGAATTTGCTGCACTAGGAAAAATATGTTTTACTGGGGACCTCAAGCTTATACATTTATAAAAACAAAACATAACAATAAAGACCAGCCGCAAAGCGGCTAAACCGAGACCCAGGCTCATAGCATCGTAAATTTGAAGGCAGGGTGAAAAGGATTATTTGTCATCAAGGTAAGGCATCAGTCATCTACGGTGGAATGTAGTCCAGATACCAGCACTCTTGACTTTTACCATATACAGCAATTATTATTAACGTTGGCCTTGAGACAATGCAAGGAAGTGATTTGTTTCCTAATGATATAACCATATCTGATACTTCTCTGCTCCCTTGCCTGCAAATCTTGGAGCCTGCCCAGACTAGTAATGAAGAGGTCTCATGTGAAACTTTGGCATGCTGCAGCACTGAGTATTTTTTTTTTAATGAAAAGTTTCTAGTCCTCGTGGTAAAACAATAGCTTTTTTAGAAAGAGGAAGGTTTTGTCACCCCAAATTTTGCACAAATATGGGTGCTATTCAACTGAATGGTTGTGCTGGAGCAAGGATTAGTACTAGCACAATGGGGTGGAAGAGGGAATGCAGAGTGATATGAACGTTGCTGTCCCCCAGCAAGGGCAAAGCAATTCTTAGATTCTTATTAGCGTAGCTTAAGGATCAAATAACCGAGTTCTGTGTTGCTGCTGGAGTAGCAGGCGTGTTACACAGGGATGGGAGTGCACAGCACAGATCTCTTGGCTGGGTACTTGCAAGCGCATGAAACGGACCCTTGACAATTACTTTAACACATACAAACATATTGTTTAGTCTACAGAAACCTAAGAGCAGCCCTGCTGGAGAAGACCAAAGGCTTATCTAGTTCCTCATCTCATTTCTCACAGGGGCACATGGGAAGTCCATACAGCAAAGCAGGAGAGAAATAGCCCTATGACGATCACCAGACTGCCAGTGTTATCCTCCATGAATATGTGAAGAAGTATATCCTTTTGTTTGTTTGGATGTCCTACCTCTCAGTTTCCTTGGATGACCTTGGATGACCCCAGGTAGAGTAAAGGTAAGGTAAAGGGACCCCTGACCATTCGGTCCAGTCGTGGCCGACTCTGGGGTTGTGGCGCTCATCTCGCTTTATTGGCCGAGGGAGCCGGCGTACAGTTTCCGGGTCATGTGGCCAGCATGACTAAGCCGCTTCTGGCGAACCAGAGCAGCACACGGAAACGCCGTTTACCTTCCCGCCAGAGCGGTACCTATTTATCTACTTGCACTTTGACGTGCTTTCGAACTGCTAGGTTGGCAGGAGCAGGGACCGAGCAACGGGAGCTCACCCCGTCACGGGGATTCAAACCGCTGACCTCCTGATCGGCAAGCCCTAGGCTCTGTGGTTTAACCCAGAGAATGCGGGGGGGGGGGAGATATTTCCCCTGTATACTTTCCACACACCATACATAATTTGATCAACCTCACCAATCCACTTTTTCTCAGATCGATTCTAAATAGGCCTTCCAACCTTTCTCAGTAGGGGAAGCCTGTGATGAAACCTTGTCACACGAGGTGCTTTCGGATCTACACAACAAGTCAAGGCAACAAGCTTATCCCAATATGCCCCATGACCCAGGCAGAGTCCCGGCCAAACCACATGGGTAATGAACGCCTGGCAGCTCCCAGCACTTTTGGCCAAATTCCCTTCTCCCGGAGCATCTGGGCGGTGCTTCTGCAAGAGGAACACCAATCAGAGCCCAGCAGAGAGCCCAGACATGTCTGTGCAGGGTACAGCAAAACAAAGCAGCAATCAGATCTCTCCATCTAACAGGCAGAAGCGTGGGAAGGCTCAAGGAGAAGCCTTGAGGACCTGGCTGGCCTGCTGCAAGGCTTACGCAAGAGGAGCCCATCCTCCTCCTTTACAAGGGGATGGTGAAATGGCTTGCCATTTGGAGTGCTCAATCCCCACCTTGTTTCGGGAAAGTCTATTATGACTCTCCTGTAAAAGCGTCCTCCTAGCAGGCGTCAGGGTTGGGAGTCCTGCGGCTGGAAGCCAAACAAAGGGAAACTTTGTTTTCAAGAAACCAGAAGTCCCAGGCTCTCTTCAAATAAACACAAGCCTCTGGCGCAGCGGACCTCGCATCTCATTCGCAGTTAATACATTTTCTGGGAGGCCCCAGGACAGGAATAATATCCAAGACAGAGAGAGTAATAAGAAGAACAGAGGGGAGGGAGGCATGGCAGGCATAGAATATCCCAGGCCTATTAAGTATGGAGGCAGGAGGGCTTGGGCTGTCTCCAAACTGACAGATTCTGGAGGCTTGTGTGTGCAAAGAGGGGGGTGGCAGAAAGAAAGAAAGAAAGAAAGAAAGAAAGAAAGAAAGAAAGAAAGAAAGAAAAGTAAAAGTAGCCAGGAAAGACCTTAGCATTTGGTACAGGGGTTCAGAGATTCCCTTGGTCTTTTCCCCCCATCACCACCTCAACCCTTTGTGCCGCAAGCTCAGGATTAAAGGCCCGTTGGAGCCTTTCTTGCCTTCCCCAGCCCTCCCCAGATTCATTTCAGCGACGAAGGAGTGGAAATCAATGCAAACGACTCCTTTGACTGCGGGGGAGGCAAGTCACTCCCCCTCTTTGCTTACATATTGTTTTGCTCACAGCATTCGCAGGAAGTGCGGGGGGGGATTAAAAAGCTCCTGGAATAGAGGATTGAGCCCCACTGCACCCCGAGTCCGTTTGAGCCATCCGCTTTCCGAGCAGCAAAGGAAAGGCGAGGAGGAGAGAAAGTAGCCACGTCCCCCTCCCCAATCCCGAAGACGTCTCTTACCCAGAGAGCAACCAGCTGTTCCACTAACCTTTTAGCAACAACAATAACAGCCTTCAAGCCAGCTGGGGAGGCGGAGGCAGGCGAGGCTCGCAGCGCTGCTGGGAATTGTAGTCCTCGCCGCCTGCTCGTAAATGGGCAGGAGCGCAGCGCAGAGACTGCATCTCCCAAAGAGCCGCGCGAGGCAAGGGAGGCCGCTAAGGATTGTGGGCTTCGTAGTCCCAAGGCTCGGAGAAACAAGGGGAGGATGGGGCCCCGGGGACTCCAAGTTCCAGGGAGCAGCATTGGCTGGGGGGACACGGGCGCAGTTTGCTGGAAGGAGATAATGCAGAAGGGGGCACAAGTTGCCCTAGAGAGGGATCCTGAGGAGGTTTTGTGGAGTAAAGGGCCCCGCTTCTGGCCTGGGTGCTTTAAGACCATTGCAAGCAGTTTACACGCGGGTTCGTGGGGGGCAATTGCACGGATGGAAAAAAGACGTGGAAGCACAACGATGGAGCACAGACAGATAGCAAGGGATAAGCGGGGGAACGCGTGCAAAAATGTGCAGATACACACATACACCTCCCTACATTCACATGGAGAGTTTATACATGCAGTCAGAGATGAAAGGGAGTAGCTGGTTTGCAGCCGCATCCACAAAAACAAATGCGCGTGCACCCGCAGGTGTGCGAAACTCTATAGAGAGGCATTCTCAAATACCGCCCAAAACCCGCAGAGAGCGAAATCGTGCACAGGAAGTCGGTGCCATGTGTGATGAGTCATCGCCAGAGCCAAACTGCACCTGTTCTAGTGCAATTGATAGGAAAAGATGGGCGGTATACAATGCAAAGCTCTCGGTTTCATGCAAAAACTGTTGCCTGCCTCCAAAGCCTCAGGCAAGTTTCACCTGCCCTTCTGCTTTCTGTTCCCTTCTTCATTTTCAGGTCTCCGGTTTTCCTGTTCCCTGTTCCTTGGAATTCCTGGCTTTCAAGTTCTTTCTCCTCCTGGCCTGGTGTAGCTTGAGGAATGGCAGGGCTTGCTGCCCTAGGCCCTTCTGATCTATGCTGCAAGCATTGCAACTTTGTGCCCCCTGCCCTAGGAAGTCCTACAATTTGCCCACATTTATCTAAATTAACTTGTTAAAGGCATAGCTGTCAAGCTTCCCTTTTTTTTGCGGGAAATTCCCTTATTCCAGCGCCATTTCCCGCTGCTATCCCGGATTGTTAGATATCCCGTAGACTGTCCCTGGTACAGGTGAGGCTGCTGATCCCTTCTTTTCAAATCTGAAAGTTGACAGCTATGTAAAGGGCTCAGGATGTGGCAACTTGGGTTTATGCAAAGCTCAGTTTACTTGCGGAGGAGCTGAGCTCTTGCATGGTACTGCTTTGATTTAGCAAGACCAGGTCTTTACACAGCTTCAATGACGGGGAAAGTCACCAGAATTAGATAGAAACTAGGGGATAAGGATTTCAAGGTGAAAGCAGGGTTTTGTACTCCTACAAGATGGGTATTGACTAGAACACAACAACATGCACACAAAAAGAGGGTTGGAAAGACTTCAGGTTTGCAGGATTCATAATATTAGTGTTTTTGCTATTATTATTAACATGATAAGAATTCAGGGAGAGTATCTGTGATTAGGGACAGGTGAATCTGTCCTTTACAGTTTCTCACATTTTCTCAGTTTTCTAATCTTCAATTCAGTTGTCCTCATTTCCACATCAGTTTGCAAATTCTGTTTCGAAAAGTCCTCATGAAAATTCTTCAGCGATTTAATGCGTTTCTCCTAATACGTACATGTTTGTATACATTTCCCCCCAATGTACACATTTTTTGCAAAGTGGATTTCCCCCAAGATTTATATTTCCCCTAATATAACACATAGAGACATCACCTTGCCAGCAAAGGTCCGTATAGTTAAAGCTATGGTTTTCCCAGTAGTGATGTATGGAAGTGAGAGCTGGACCATAAAAAAGGCTGATCGCCGAAGAATTGATGCTTTTGAATTCTGGTGCTGGAGGAGACTCTTGAGAGTCCCATGGACTGCAAGAAGATCAAACCTCTCCATTCTGAAGGAAATCAGCCCTAAGTGCTCACTGGAAGGACAGATCCTGAAGCTGAGGCTCCAATACTTTGGCCGCCTCATGAGAAGTGAAGACTCCCTGGAAAAGACCCCGATGTTGGGAAAGATGGAGGGCACAAGGAGAAGGGGACGACAGAGGATGAGATGGTTGGACAGTGTTCTCGAAGCTACCAGCATGAGTTTGACCAAACTGTGGGAGGCAGTGGAAGTCAGGAGTGCCTGGCGTGCTCTGGTCCATGGGGTCACGAAGAGTCGGACACGACTAAACGACTAAACAACAACAACAACAACAACAATATAACACATGATTTTAAAGTTATTTCCACTAATACATATTCTAGGCACATGTCACCTTGGTATATTTTGGTGCACGTTATTTGCAGTACAGTGGTGCCTTGCAAGACGAAATTAATTCGTTCCGCGAGTTTTGTCGTCTTGCGATTTTTTTCGTCTTGCGAAGCACGGTGTCGGGAAAGTTTTGGAAAAGCTTCAAAAATCACCAAAGTCTTTAAAAACCTCAAAAAAAGCTACCACACCGCGTTCTATGAGTTGCTCCTCGAAGTCAAGTCGCAACTGTATTAACGGTGTTAAGAAAAAGGAAACAAACTTGCAAGACGTTTCCGTCTTGCGAAGCAAGCCCAGAGGGAAAACCGTCTTGCGAAGCAGCTCAAAAAACAAAAAACCCTTTTGTCTAGCGAGTTTTTTGTCTTGCGAGGCATTCGTCTTGCGAGGTACCACTGTACATTGCAAAATTTGAAAAAGTGAATTTTGAAAGACACCTGCACTTCAGTTCACGTTGTGTTTCAGAAAGTGCCAAATAGGTAGATTAACCTTTAAATTTGAGCCAAATAGGATTTCCCTCATATCCTTATCATGAGTGACAGCAACCTGACTCCCATCATCAGTGTTTGATACTCATTCTATTAGCCAAACCCCATAGGATGGGTTCATTTCCTTCTCCTCCCGCTTTTCTCTGGCTATTGTGAAGGGGAGCTACTACCATTGCTACCAATCCAGCAACAGTGAGAGGAGGAGGAGGAAGTGAGGAGGTCATCCATGGTCCTATGCCTAATAGAAGCCTGACAAAAGATAGGGAGAAAATTAAGCTTCCTCCGTCTCCGTGCCAGGAAAAATGTCATCTGGAAAATGTCAGTGAGATAGGCTGCTGACTAAAGCAGGAAAGCAGAGCCAATCCAAATATTGGTGGCACTGCTAGGTGGGGGCGAGAGGGAGGCCTTGTCAGCTACTTCCTTGAAAGAAGTGGCTCTGCAAGGACTTTTCCGTGAGGCATCCCCAGCCTGTTTGTGTCATGCTGTGGCCGGCATCACACACATAAATTTAAAGGGTGCAAAGGGATAGAGAGATGACTCTGCCTGCACTGAAGGTGAGGATAGGCTTGAAGGGCTTCTGTGTCCTCCTAGCTAGGTAGGGGCTTGTTTTCCTCCCTGCTAACACTCCTGAATCAGGTTATTCATGCTGTGATTTTGTGGGAATGCAGAAATACCATAAACCATGAGACTGACTGCAGGGATCTCAGGTTTTATTGCTTAAAAACAAAAACAAAACAAGTTTCTGGTCCTTATGGCTGCAAATATATACTTAAAAGTATGCGTGTGTCCATGTGTGTAATGTCTGGTGAAATCTTAAAAGCTCAAGAAGTAGCTGCTTATATATGATTTCCATCCATCAGAGGCTCTCTTAAAGGTAAAGGGACCTCTGATCATTAGGTCCAGTCGTGGCCGACTCTGGGGTTGTGGCACTCATCTCGCTTTATTGGCCGAGGGAGCCGGCGTACAGCTTCCGGGTCATGTGGCCAGCATGGCGAACCAGAGCAGCGCACGGAAACGCCGTTTACCTTCCTGCTGGAGTGGTACCTATTTATCTACTTGCACTTTGACGTGCTTTCGAACTGCTAGGTTGGCAGGATCAGGGACCCAGCAACAGGAGCTCACTCCGTCGCAGGGATTCAAACCGCTGACCTCCTGATCGGCAAGCCCTAGGCTCTGTGGTTTAGACCACAGCGCCATCCGCGTCCCTTACTTTTCTCCAAAACAGAATAATGTGCAAAACAATGGCAGAATCATACAAAAGAAAGGGAACGAACACAAATCTGTTTAATTGGCTGAATTTATGCAGATTGCAGAATGTGTTTGGATGTTGCTGCTTAGGCGAACCTTGATGCAGAATTTGGGTCTTCGTTTGTTGTTAGAATTTAGTACACAACCGGTGTGCCCTGCACTCTGTCCTGAATCTCACTGGGGCACATGGACGTAGCCAGGCGGGGGGGGGGGGAGCTGCCCTCCCCATCAAGTAAACAAATAAAAACACTTAACTAAAAGTAGGGATTGTAGAAAGATTTTGACAGATTTTTCTGAGCACTTGCGGTCAAAAGAAAGTAATCTAAAACAACTGTTGTTGAGACATTTCATTCTGAATCTGCTGTACAGAGCCAGACAGAGGATGATGACGGGTGGGTGTCGTCGTGTCCCCCTAACATAAATCTCAGCTATGCCCATGCTGGGGCATATGAGTACCCTCCTGGTTCCTGATGGGAAGCATTATGAAGCTGATGGGAAGCATTATGAAGCATCCTGCAGTTTTAAATGGAAATGGCAGCACAAAAACAGCACTCCTGTTGTTTCAGAACCACTTGGAAGAAGCATCCAGACTAGATGATCGCGCAGGAGCTGCTACCCAGTGTTAGAAACTGAGATATGAGAGCTAGGAGCTAAATGGCTCCTCAAACCTAGGTTATGGGAGCAACAATGGAATGTCTAGGCACACTTTTTTAGTACAGTCATACCTCATGTTGCGTCCGCTTCAGGTTGCATTTTTTCGCGTTGCAGACTGCCGAAACCCGGAAGTACTGGAATGGGGTACTTCCGGGTTTCGGCAGTCGCGCATGCACAG